CAACCCTCCGCGGTCAATATAGAAAACCAATCGGTCCGGCCAGGGCTAAATACCGGAATTGTGATCTAATGTAAAAAGACGGCCCAAGGTAACCTGACGCCAGTGACAGGTGTCCTATATTCGCAGCGTCTTATGTTCACGAAGGTCTCAATTTCCACTTTCTTCAGCCGAGTGATGGTTACTAATAGCAAGGCTCTCTAAATGCAAGCCGTAATCGCCACGCAATATGTGGAAGGCTTTTGATGTCAATACATACATAAATGCAATAATAAAACCATATTGTATGCGCTTTCCACAAAATTCATAAACTCAAGCGCGTCTGTTTTTAATGACCAGTCAACTACGCATGGATGCGTGCAGGCCACACCAGTCAGCGTAAGCCGGGCGCGGCGGCCGAGCCGAAACTGGGGCGGGGCGGGCGGTAGTTGGGTAGGAATAGCGGCTCCTGCAAATTTTGCGCAAATATGCGCAGTTAGCTTTTATGTTGCCCTGGTGTAAATCTAAATCCTGCTTCATCTCACAAAAAATCAGAGTGGGACTAGATGGGACTACCTGTTGTTTCCTTACCTAAACTTTGCAGTTATATTCCAGAATCACTCTAAGAGAGCCCTCATAAAAAAGCTACAGTAGATCTTAGTTGGAGAAAAAGTATACCAAAAAATTTGCACTGACCAGTCGGCAACTTCATAACGAACATTTTGATGCATAATATGTGGGATTTCAATTTGGTGTCTATCAGCAATAAGACTCTGATTATCCGGCTCAAGAAACCTCTTGCTCCGCGTCAGTTTCCGAGTTCTGGGATACCCCATCTTCGGGGGCTGATTACAGTTATTTTTGGTCACCCGGATTAGTTTTTTTGGCCTAATTATAATAATTTGATCAATTTCAAATCGATCTATATAAAAAATAATCCGAAACTCCGGAATCGCCCGTGGCCTCTCGTGAGGGCGTTTCCGACCAGTGTGCAGTGGTCCGACTCTGGGGCGGAAATAGCCCCGTTGGCGGGCGGTTCGGGGCGGAGACCGCGCCCAACCGGGACCGTGTCTCCGGCGCCGCGCGGGCGCGCTGTTTTCGCGCGGGTGGTGGGCGCGCGAACACGGCTGGCTGAGAGCCAGGCGGCCGGGACCGAACCGTACGCAGCGACCCCGGCCGCGCAGTGAGCCGAGCCAAAATGCCTTACTATCACATGGGCAGCTCGTGCTGCGTGGCTAGGCGGCGAATTTTTCCATTTGCAGCCAGTCTTTGACAACATATTTGTCTAAATTGCGTTTCCTGGAACTGGGAAGGTCATAATGAACATGTGTGTTATGGGTACGCTAATTAACCATGGTAAATTACGTCATTGTTGTAATCACCCGTCGGTATCTGTAGCATGCACTGGGCATTCACTGCCCGTAGTCTGCCCGCCTCCCCAGTTGTTCTGGCATCCCTCGCCCGTCTGTCTGGCCCGTACCCGTTGTCGGGTCAATCAGACGTTGACAGGCTGTTGACGGGTGACGGGGACCGCCTGACGACGAGCCGTCTGCCACAGTGTGGGCCGTAAACATCACGGTCTTTGTGCCGGGGTACTGGCTGCGTCGGACTGTCAGGGAGAGAAACTGGGGCATAGAATGTGCGACTTGCGGGTTTGATGATGACAAGAATCATGTGTTAGGTATTGGCTCATATAATGCACATATTACATGCTAAGTAGGCCAATTATCGTCGCAAGAGCCTGCGCCTCGAGCGCAGAGTGGAGTTGTGATAAACCAGTTTTATGGTTATTCAATAACTGTTATACCACATTTGTGCTGAACAAACTTGTATGGTATGACAAGCCTGATAATCCCAATAGCTTTATGAAATTAATGGTGTGAACTGTGAAGTGCTTTAGCGAGGAACACCGCATTAAATATAACTTTTGCATTGTTTTTACATTTTCGAGGAAAAGGACAATGATTCTTCACGTATATATTCCCAATAGCTTTGTTCGCATTTAACACCCTTTAAGCTAGCGAACCAAACTATTCACGAAAACACCAATTTTCACAAGCAACTTCTGTCATACCTTATCTACCGTCTCGTGACTCAGCCCTCGCCCGTGCGTCCCCTGACTCACACGCGCGCTCACGCACACAAATCATCGTCCAGCGGTGCCGTTTGGTGGCCCATGTTCGGATGGCGGCACCCTCACCCTCTCCCGTGCCGGAAGCGTCAATCGGGTCCAATCAGGCGTGTCCGGCCGGCCAGTGCAACGGCCGGCGGCGCCGTCCCGTTCCCACTGCTGTGGAGCGCCGCCCGGGTCAGCTCCGCGGGCTCCGGCCGCCGCCGGCACCGGTTTCAGCCGGGTTTCGGAGGAGGGAGGGGGGGGGGGGGCGACCAGCTCGGTGCCAATACGGTAGACAGTGGACTAATGCTCAGAGAATGTGTTGCTAAGCAAGCAGGATAACGAGTCTGATGTGGGTTGACGATATTGCCCGCCGGGGGGCGAAATCATGATCCGTCGAATGTGTCTTCCGCCAAAGTATAACCGGGTTATGAGCCGATCTGTCAAAAAGTCGATTGAAAAAATTGATAACCTCTGGTCACCTGACCTTTGGACTAATCTTTGGAAATAACCAAAAATGTCTCAATGATTTTGACGACTTTTCGAGGGCCTCTTACCGCTTGACGCTTTTTTTACCGGGGAGTTAAATGGGAAAGAGGACGTAAAAATGCCCCCTTCTCAATGCGTTTCGATCGGACCACCGCCACAGCACAAGCTAACGTGGTAAATATTATTTATTGGACGTAAAAATGCCCCCTTCTCAATGCGTTTCGATCGGACCACCGCCACAGCACAAGCTAACGTGGTAAATATTATTTATTTCCTTTGCACATCTCACAAATATGATGAATATAAGCTGTCATCTGTAGTAGAAAAGTATGTCGGTTCGTACCCGCTCAGACGTGCCGCCCCCTCCCGCCCCGTGCTCTGTTTGGCCCGGAGCGGTCGGTCGGGACGGCGCTCAACTGTTGACGGCGGCCCGCAGTACGAGTATACCCGGTCCCATATCCACTATCCAGTGCTGTCTGGTGCTAACTAGCTGCATGGGAGCGCCTCTAACCGTATGCCGCGCATACTGGCCGTCTTTAGGAGCGGCTACCGGTCTCTATGCTGGCTAGCTCTTTTTATTTGTTGCATGCTTCACACTCACAGAAGGTCGTTACTAAAATGTCATTTTTTATTTCGCTTACACCAACTTGATAACACAAAGCATTAGTAATCCACGTCAAAGTGTATCAACGGGAAACGTCTATTTGTCTGAACGGCTTGAATCGCTCCATCGTCACCTCTTATCACGTCCGGTATCAGTATGAGCTTTGCTACGGAGGGCAGGGCTGGGGACTCGGTCCAAGCTGGATCGCCCAACCAAAACGTTGGAGAGGGTAGCAGCTTATGTCCATCAATAAGCAGATATTTGTGTATGTGCCAAATACGTTTACCCCTTGAATATACGCCTGAGATCGTGCAACATCATGACAAATTAACAATAGGTCACCTTTGCAACAATAGTTGCGTTAACCCTATTACTGGTGGGGGGGGGGGGGCGAATCGGCCCCCACCTGCAGTTTTTTTTTTGCTCTGGACGGAAAACCACTCTAGCTAGGGGCTTAAAATTTGGTGACTTTTCGTTGCCATTCATTGGGCACATTGTGTCAATTTTTGAGTTTCTAGCTTGCGCAGAGGCGTCTCCAGGACGAGTTTCTCGGGGATAGTTTTGGCCCAGATTTGACAGTTTCGACATTTGCCGCTAAGCAGCGACTTACTTAGGTTTATACTGGTGACCAGTGGCACCACCCGTCATATGTATGCGCTTTAAGACTATGTGACGTCATTCTACAATGAAATTATTGGAATAGGCGGAGCCAGGTACCTGAGAAAGGGGGGTAATATCAATGTACTGCCCCCCGTTTAAGCGTGCATTAACCCGCCTATGCTTAACGAAAACGTGTACCTATTTTGTGCTCACGTTGCATATTTTACATGATATATGACACATCATGTCATAAGACACATGACATACCATGACAAACACTCAAAACATCATCCCAAGCTAGGTTACCTGAATCCGCCTATGATTTTTGAAATATCAAAAACGCCGGAATATATATGATAGACCAGTTCATGAAGAAGGGTCCCCTGAAGTTTTATCAAAATCGGTAAAAAAATAAAGAAGTTATAGCATTTTTAGTGATAAAGTGTAAAACGCGTTTTTCGAAACATTTTGCTTCCAGGACCCCCAATTTCGAACTTTTTTTACTTTTTACAGCGAATCTGAAAGTTCACGATGAGAGCGATCGAATGGTGTTTGTGCCATTAAGATCGGACATTTAGTTTTCGAGATATCAAGGGGGGGCCGAATCGCCCCCCCCCCCCCCACCAGTTAACGTAGTCCAGAAAGACCACCAATAATAGGATTAAGTCTATTCCTGCTGCGGCGATCAAAGAACATAAATTTGTTGATCATAACCATACGGGTCGACTGATTGCCGCACAAAATTCCACGCATAGATCATGACCCTATCATCAGGTTATGTTGCGTCGTAAAACGAAAATATCAGTTATAATAGAGAACCCAGTGCATTTTGTGTAAAGCTGCTTTAAGTGGTCGTAATAGGACATCTAAAGAAGCTTTCAATCACCAAGCGTATTTTCGTCGCTTAGACATGCAGTGTGCACGAGATTCAATTAAAAAAATGAAATAAGTATCGACCTTCTTCACAATCGTGAAATGTGTTTCAAACGTCGCGTAGTATTGTTAGATGACGGCAAATTATACCGCAACTTATTCAAACATGGGACTTAATCAATTCACAGGATTCCATTTAGAATAATTTCCCGCAATGTCAAGTTGTGTACACCTAAGAAGTCACCGTCAAATGACGTTACCGATTCGGGTGCCCGTGACGTGACGTCACTCCGGGAAGACTCTGTGACGTCACTGGAGGGGTCGGGTCGGCGACGGGCCGCCCGTCGGGGTGTCGGACAGTAGTCCGTCGGCCGTGGCTGGAGTCGGCCCGAGCCAGTTCTGCCGCCTACCTCCGGACTCGCTGTGTCGTGCTGAGCGTCCTATCGTCAGTTCGACAGCGCCAGAGCGGCAATCCGTCAGCCGAGAGTCCCGGTTTGTCTATTTGTTTACCTACTGTTTAGCCATCTCCCGTCTGAACTGAACGGAGGCGCTGCTCGGTCTTACCGGGCGCATCTCTGCAGTCTGCATCGTGCTGCTAGTTTCTCGGCGTTCATCTACTGCAGCCATGGACGGTCCTCAAAAGAAGTTGATGGCGGAACCGACGGCGTCGGACACCAGCTCCGACACCTTGGGCTCCGAGAGACACTCCATTTACAAACAGGTCAGACGGGATGGACACCATTTACAACAGGTCAGACGGGGACACTCCATTTACAAACAGGTCAGACGGGATGGACACCATTTACAACAGGTCAGACGGCAGGCACTCCATTTACAAACAGGTCAGACAGGAAACACTCCATTTACAAACAGGTCAGACAGCAGGCACTCCATTAACACACAGGTCAGACGGGAGACTCCATTTACAAACAAGTCAGAGTCAGACGGGAGACACTCTATTTACAAACAGGTGAGACGGGAGACACACCATTTACAAACAGGTCAGACAGCAGGTACTCCATTTACAAAAAGGTCAGACAGGAAACACTCCATGTACAAACAGGGCCGACGGGAGATTCCATTCACAAACAGGTTAGATGCGATACACTCCATTCACAAACAGGTGAGACGGGAGACATCCCATTTACACACAGGCCAAGCGGGAAATCCTCCATGTACAAACAAGTCAGACGAGACACACTCCATTTACAAACAGTTGAGACGGAGACACATCATGTCCAAAAAGAAGAGACGGCAGGCACTCCATTTACAATTAGGTCAGGAGGAAGACACTTCATTTACAAATAGGTCACACGAGAGACACTACATTTAAAAACAGGTAAAACGATAGACACTGCATTTACAAACAGATCAGACGGCAAACACTCCAGTTACAAACAGGTCAGACGGGGACACTCCATTTACAAACAGATCAGACGGGAGACACTCAACTTACAAAGGTCAGACTGGAAATATTCCTGTTACAAACAGTTCTGACAAGAGACAGTCCAATTGCAAACACTTCTGACGGGGCATACTCCATTTAAGCAGACGACAGACATTCAATAAACAAGCGGATCAGACGGCAGGTACTCCATGTATAGCAGGTCGGATAAGATACACTCCATTTACAAACAGGTCATTCGGGAGACAATTCATTTACAAGCTGGTGAGACGGGAGACACTCCATTTAAAAACAGGTTAGACTCCATTTACTGACAGTTCAAATGAGATACACTCCATTTCCAAACAAGTCAGACGCGAGACACTCCATTTACAGGCAGGTCAGACGGTAGGCACTCTTGGTTAGACGAAAAACTCCATTCACAAAGAGGTCAGCCGAGAGACACTCCATTTGCAAACAGGTTAGATGGGTGAAACTCCACTTAACAAACAGTTTTCTCTCTCTCCCTCTCTCTCTGTCTCTCTGTCTCTCTGTCTCTCTGTCTCTCTGTCTCTCTCTCTCTCTGTCTCTCTGTCTCTCTGTCTCTCTGTCTGTCTGTCTCTCTCTCTCTCTCTCTCTCTCTCTCTCTCTCTCTCTCTCTCTCTCTCTCTCTCTCTCTCTCTCTCTCTCTCTCTCTCTCTCTCTCTCTCTCTCTCTCTCTCTCTGTCTCTGTCTCTCTCTCTCTCTCTCTCTCTCTCTCTCTCTCTCTCTCCTCTCTCTCTCTCTCTCTCTCTCTCTCTCTCTCTCTCTCTCTCTCTCTTTCTCTCTCACCTAGTTGTACTGGAGAGAGATGCAGCCCACGGGAAGTCTCAGAACATAGGTCCAAATCATTCACCTATATGGACGTGCTTTGGTCATTGGCCTCGTGGTTTGTCATACTTCATTCGGTAGCGTCATTTTGCGTCGCCTCTATCAGAGAAGGGAAAACTTAGCTGCGAGAAGCTTAACCCGCGCCCCGCTGGGGTCTGCCGAGCAACGCGCCCTGTTGGGGGTGGGGGTGCAATTGCCCCCCCCCCCCAGATCTCGAGAACCACGCAAGATAGCGACAAGCGGCAAACGGTGTTGGATAGCCCTACCAAGGAACTACCTTGTGACCCAATTTCATTGACCTAGGTCAAACCGATGACGTCACAGTTTAGGTCAAATGTCGAATTTTCACCGTTTACCTGCATTTCAAGAAATGCGTTGTAAAATCGATTAAAATGCATTTTATTGAAAATCGTAGGTGGGGAAATGTTAGTCAAACACATGTTCTGCTATTTGAGGTCACTGGTACCAGATCAGGTCACAGAGGTCAGGTCACTGAGGGTCACAATATGAAAATATCATATGATGCATGTTTTATAGTCCATTTTATATGCCAAATACGATTATATGGGTCAGGCCGCCTTTGGGGTCAGGTTAGATTATGTTCTGGTGAAGGTCAGGTCAAGGTCAGGTCAAATTAGGTCAAATTTCAAAGTTAATATTTTTGCATAATATGGATATTGATTCGATGCAGCTCGTCACGGGGAGTTCAATGGTGGTCTTTTTTGCGCTACGTGGTCTAGAATTGCCAAAAATTGAGTTCAAAAATTTGACGTCATCAATTTTGAACAGTTTTTTTTTTTGCTATAAATTGGCCAAAAAAGGAGGTACCTATCGATCTAAAATTTGGTATGTATAGGTATAGAAGATGGTAGGGACTATCACATGTATTCCGTTTTTTTTTTTTCGAGATTCGGGAACATTTTGTTTTTTGTTGCGTTTTTCTTAAAAAAAAAATCATTTTTTGAATTTCTGGGGGTAAAAATCCAAAAATTTTGAAAATCCGAGATAGCATTTTTGTAGCACCGCCTTTTGTCTACATGACCATACAAAGAACTTTGAAATTGCTTGATAACTGTAGCTTTTGTGAGCGTTTCAAGATTTCATGTTCTTTGCTCATTTTTGCTCGAACATGACCTCAGTTTGACCTCAATAACTCCTGACCTAAGGTGACCTTAGACTTGAAATTTTGTGTGGAGGTGTCAAATTGATGCCCGGGAAGGTATTGTAAATTTGGCGGTGCTGCGCGCCGCCGTTTTCTTGCTATTCAGGAAAAACCACAGGGGGCCAAATTGCCCCCCCCCCCCCAGCAGGGCGAGGGTTAAGATCAGTAGAGACAAGAAGCGATCGAAAGCTGAATGAATGACATCAGTAGCGAATATAGACCATGCGACTTATTTAGCACGCCGCACGGGCATGTAGGTATTATAGATATATTTGTACCCCAAAGGGGCCCCTTATATGCCCGATGTACCGGAGGCTCTGTCAAAGCGTGGGTCTGTGCTACTTTGAGTAATGTGACGTCTGATTAGTCGGCCGGCGAGACGTCTGTTCGCGCTATAAATATTCCTCGGTGCACGGCACTGCTGTCCTTGGTGTCTGATAATTATGTAGTTAATCAGCTGCATTTTGTCAAAGCTCACAATATTTACATCCTTCTGCGGCGCCTGGCTGACCGCAGTAACGATACTGGCAACCGGGTCACGTGAAATGAGATAGACACTCGCATGACTCCTGGCTAACTGTAAATGTTTGCGCTCATCAACCTGTCCCAGAAGTGCTCCCCAGTAAACATGCCGACGTCGGCCCGACGTCGGCCGACGTCGGGGTGACGTCGGCAACTCGGCATCGGCATGCCGACGTCGACCCAAAGTCGGTCCAACCTCGGCACGACGTCGGCTGGATGTCGGATATGCCCGCATGTTTCGACGTCCAGCCGAGGTCCAGCCGACGTCGGGCCGACGTCGGACCGAGATCAATTGCTGAGGTCCAGCCGACGTCGGGCCGACGTCGGGGCGACGTCGGACCGACATCGGCCGCTGTTTTGACCGTTAAAATAATATAAAATACATGTTTCATGTTTCATAAAGAGCTTCTGTATTCAAAATATCCTCAGGAAACTCAAATCTTCCTCCACGCCGCAACCCCCTGATCCGGACTGGACGGGAAACTTTATCCCATTTGGGATTGCCCGTAAGCCGAGCTCGCCCGTAGCCGGGTGCGGTGAGTGCTTGGGGGCTGCTCGGCCTATCCTTTGGTCAGGCTCAGTCCCGGAAACTCACCAGGGCCGGGCCCAGTTCATATAGAAAGGCCAGTCGGCAAGTGTCACTTTGCCAAAGTGCCACTTATCAAAGGGACACTTTGGGAAACGTTGGTGCATGTGTGTAAGAGTGGCTATATGAATCCATTGTGGGCTCGCCCTTTCCAATAAGTGTCACGTAACAGCAATGGGACCAGGGACTCTATATGAACTGGACCCAGGGTGCTCGCCAAGAAGACCAATGTCTCCATCCTATGATCCTTCCGGCTCTGAAATGGTCTTGTCAGACCGAAAGGGCATAACCCAACAAAACAAACCGAGTTCGTTAGCTGGCTGAGTGGTGTAGTGGTTATCGCGCTAACCTCGCGTTCGAATGACACTGGGTTTGAATCCCATCGCCGGCTGATGCTTTTGACGTGTTGTCCCAGTAAACATGCCGACGTCGGCGACTGGGGGGCTCGAATCCCGCCGCCGGTTGATATTTTTGGCGCGTTGTCCCAATAAACATGCCGACGTCGGCCCCGTCGGTCCAACAACAAACGATCTCGTCAACCTCGGCAAACGATCTCGGCCCGACGTCGGCTCGACGTCGGCTGGACTTCGGCTGGACGTCGGAACATGCGGGCATATCCGACGTCCAGCCGATGTCAGGCCGAGGTTGAACCGACGTTGGGCCGACGTCGGGCCGAGCCTCGGCCCGACGTCGGGCCGACGTCGTCATGTTTACTGGGTCGTGGGCGGCGTGGTCACGCTGCAGTGCACCCCAAACGCTGAAATGAAACGTTCCAGCTTCTGAAATGTGATGATAAACACAGATAGAATTTCTGGAATTGCAACCCTTTTTGGAAAAAAATATCGCTCAAGAATGCCACAATATGAAATTATCAACTAGCTAAGTTTAAATAAATAGGCATTTTATCTTTTTCCTGTCGAAGTACCTTCAGTCCTTCCTTCGGAGTACTGAAATGAGAATGTTATAAAGCTTCACTTGTCTGCAGTTTGCTCAGGTATTTGCTGTTCTCGGTCGTTTTGGCGGTTCCCGTAGCTTACATACCTAGTAGGTGCACCACAGTCATCCATGTCTCTGACTCTGTCAACTGCGCGGGCCTTATCGATCTATAATTATCGCTCACTAACAGCAAAAACACCCGTTCACGATGCCCGGCCAGGGAAACAGTCCGCGTCCAAACAAACTGGCGTAGTGCCCCCTCCCCCTCCCACCCCCCGGCGCCGTCCAGGGTCGACCAATGTCACTTTGTCGTAGCCCTGAACTGCCCTCGCTGGTCTCTGCACGTAACGTTATTTGCCGCCGTGCGCATCGCCTTACCTGCCAGCACAAACAGACTCTACTGCGCACTGCGGCGATATAAAATATGTATGTGAAACGGGAACCTGCTGACTTATGAAAGGCATATCACGGCTTAACCCGCGCCCTGCTGGGGGGGGGGTGTTTGAACACCCCCCCTTGTGGTTTTTCGCGAATATCTCAAAAACGGCGGCGCGGAGCGCCGCCGTTTTTGGTACACCTTATCATACATCAATTCTACACATGTTGTGAAAATTTCAGACCAAGGTCATTCAAGGTCAGGTCACCAGGTCACTTGAAGTGACCTCACCTCATAAAAAGTTTCAATGTCTGTCATAGCTACACCGAATGACCGATCGCTTTGAAACTTTCAGCGATTGCTTAGAGCAATAGCATGTACAAAATGTATATCTCAGAATTTTGATATCGATGACCTAAGGTCAGGTCAATTTTGCGACCTCCCCATTATAAGTCAATGGGAGAAAATTGAAATGCGCCTCTTTTGGACGAAAGACATTATAAACACTTCCAAACACTGAATTACAAGTGGTTTAGACACACTGAACATGAAAATGGTGTCCGCGACCCCTGTTTATGCCCTGAGGTCATCTTAGGTCACGAATGGTATCTAACAGTTTTTCGCAAATAACTTTTGATAGAGGCATGCTAGAGCGATGAAAACGCCTTAGATGTGTTCAGCTCGACGATACGGATCGACTGATATGCAACATGACCCTTTCCGGTCAGGTCATGACCTTGACCTGAGGTCAAATTTTCAAGTTGACCTTTCAAGGTCAAGTTATAGTTCATTCGATGCGTCTTGACGAGAGGAACACGATGCCGGTAAAAGTAAGCTCGTACAAGGCTTGGGTCAAAAGTTATTGCAGAAAAACTGTTTTCGAAAAAATCGGCTATTTTTGCAGTTTTTGCCCCCTGCAGGCAAAACCGTTGACGTTAGGTCAAATCTGAGAAAATTACTCAGAAAGGGCGTTAATAGGGCTATCGAATGCGCTTTTCCGCGGCGCTGTAGCTCTATTGGTTCCCGAGTTATGCGTTGGCTTCTTGGAAATTTTCGACATTCGACCCGGAAATCGGCGAAATTTTGCCTTCAATGACCTCTGGTGACCTGACCTTTGACCTGACCAAAAAATTGACCGAAGTAATTTCCTCATTATTTTTGACGCTCTTTCGAACGCCGCCTTCCGCGTATCGCTACGTGGCCCAGGAGCCGAGTTAGAAGGGGGGGGGGGTGTTCAAACACCCCCCCCCCCCCCCAGCAGGGCGTGGAAATCCAGGACCCCCAGCCGGGCGCGGGTTAAATGGACTTTCTTCACGAACTTTGCCGTAGGTGGCAGGCTGTACCCAGGCGAAGACGTTAGTGAGGGGACCGGCCGTGCGCGGCTATATGCGCACGTTAAACTTAAGACTTCAAATTCTACAATTGAACCGCAATTGCGCGATCCGAGGGTAGAGGGCACTGGGCAGGGTCAACGCAACAAGCTTCGCTTAGTGGGGACTCTGTCCTTGTGAATCCTTCCATTCAAAAGGTTCGGACTAAATTTATATAAAAACTTGTTTTTTGTGGGTGAACTTTGTGGAGAAAGGACGACTTGAGCGCACGTGAAAAGTGAGACCCCACCTGTCTTGTGGGTCACCCTACTAGCCGATCCCTCACCGTATATACCAACTTCTAGAGCAATCGGTCCGTTTGTGTTTGATTGCATAAATGGACCCATGCACGTGAGGTCCTATTCCATTCGTGGTGCATGGGAAGCATGGTCCTGTAGGTGCCCCAAGAAGGTAATGGTGGAACACAATCTGTCCAATTATTGCGGAGTTATTGTAAGCGCCTAACCGAGTAACAAATGCATAAAGAGTTGTCGAATTCGGGTACAAGGGGTGGGACTACTCAATATTCTTATAGAAAGATTCCCACTGTAGCAAACTGTTGGTCAAAATAATGTTATATAATTGCAAAGAATGTCAAGGGCTAGGTCGGAGACTAGTAGGGGTATGTCAGTGACTTACCATATAACGCGCTGGCTAGTGATTAACCTGCCCATGTCCATGCTCGGATTCAGCTCACGATCGTAGTCGTACTCATGTCCCCGATCGTCAGACGTCAGATGTTCCTGATGTTTAAAATGCAAGTAAACGTATTGGCGCAGACATTCAAGCATGACTTTATAAGCGATTCGATGTGTTAGCCCTCGCCGGCACAGGCCATTTTCCGTACTTCGACGGCACAAGGGGTGTACGACCCCCCCCCCCTCTTTACGTTTGGCTCCTCATCGAACTAGAGCTTTTCGCGGAAAAAATGAGCGTGTTGCCCGTGACGAGAGGAAGCCGATGATACCCAATTTTAAGGTCCTAGGTCACGGTTGACCTTCCAGGTCAGGTCAATGACTCAAAAGTCGGGAAAATCGGGACCTGTTACGTCGTAAAGTGTGGCTGCAATGTTTTTTTTTCGGGGTGCTGATCACGAACGTCATGTTAGAACATCATGTTTGATCACAGATGAATTTTAGGGTAGGTGTAAAATTGATAAACAGAAAACATACAGAAAGTTTCTTCGCGATCGGCCGTTTTTTACGCGTTATTTGCGAAAAACCTTAGAGGGGGGGGGACGATGGTGCACAGGCGAAAACCCTTTGCCGACGAGGGTTAATGTTTTTGGATGGTATTAACTGGTTTTGGAACAGCAAGCTAACTGTAATCTACCGCTACATCGCTCCTGTCAGACCACAGCTAATACAATGGAGATTGTAAATAAAATAAAATAAATAAAATGAAGCCAAGAATAACGTTTCATCGCTTGCCAAAAAGGAACATATTTCGAGGCCAATGGGCAATGACGCTGGTCCAGTCCATGGTAGCGTTATACAGGCTACGTTAATTGTGAGTAGGTTGGGTAGGTACACGTTCGGCTGTGTGGGACCGTCCACCCTGATATACGCTTACACCGCCTTCGTCTCCCGTTCGGCAGATCCTGGGCAGCGTGGTGGTCGCCACGGTAACCCTGTCGTACAGCTGTCTGCTCGGGTTCGGCTCCATCCTGCTGGGACAACTGGAGGAGGATGACGCCACCGTGGTGGTCTCCGACCGACAGCGACCCTGGCTCAGTGAGTACAAAACAAAGATCTACATTCTGTACATCTGTATGAGTGTGAGGAGTGCGACACGCTACAGCGGGCTCTGTGAGACTCGCGCGCAGAACCCTTCCTGGCTCAGTGAGTACAAGAGGGGTGCCATACGCTGCAGCGCGGGCTCTGTGAGTCTCGCACGTTCCGTTCCGTCAGTGGTATGTACATGTGACGACCATGGTAAGCACGTTATGTTGAGGCGCTATTACGCTAAGGATATGCTATTCATTGCGACCATTTCGATCCAGAACAACGTCCCATTCCCAGCTCTGTTCTGCCGTTCACTAGAAAGCGGAAGACGAATCAAATAGGGTTGTGCAGCGTGCACGTGTTCACGTGCACGTGCTCCCAGAGTGGAGGACGCGAAACCGCACCAGACATGTCCGGAACAATCCAGACACATCCTTTCAACGGTCGCAGATCGGTCATATCCGCTCTGAAGCCTGAGTCACGTCTGTTCGACAACCCTGACCCTCAGAGGTACGGCTGATCTGTCGATTTATGTCAGACAATTGAGGAGACGCTAGCGATAGTACTTGTTTACATGAAGCAGTCCCTATCATCCCTTCTCAAGACCCAATGCTTGTGTTATGAAGCCCCTTATTGGATCTGTCAAACCAAGAATACTCGCATGGCTATTTATTACATTGATTTCATAATAACCCGACCGCAATAGCCGCCACGTTTTGTAGCGTGGTATTCCGTGTGTCGATTACCACATCCTATTCGGGCTCAGCCTTTGAAGGCCGCCCCCGAACAGCTGCAGACTGGTCTGATGGCCAGTCTGATGTGCGCTGACGAGCCGCGTCCGCTGACGTCACCGTCCGCGGCTCCCCTCCCCTGTGTTCTACCTACGCTTTTGATGCCCAGAGAGAATCGAAGACCAGGCAGTCTTTCACTCCTCTGTTTGTGTGTGCTTTGAACGCGCTTTTTGAGGAGAGGGTATCAACCTGCAGTTTCTTGTGTCTGCCTCCCTCTGGCCGACCGAAGGTTAAACGTAAAGAACATTAGAAGAATTACAATTGACTGTAGCTTATTCAATAAAGTCCATGTCATATGCCTAATAGTTAATACAGTGCGTTTGTCGCTACTCAGTACCCACTTTGCTGTCAGCTACATGTCATACAAGACCGTTTCGCATAAAATAAGGCCTGCGCCAACTATCGCTATAGGATTAGGAAGCAGTCTGGGATACTGTGCCGCAATGCATCCATGTAGCGCGGGCTAGCCTACGCATTACACTCGCCACTCGCCAGTCTCCGATAGTAATCCGTGGTAATACGCCGCGCTGGACTGTCAGGTGTGATATAACGTCACCAGTCCGTGTTGTGTCGTCACTAATCCGTGCTGTAACGTCACCCGTGTTTTTCAGTGGGCGGAGCCTACGTGGGCTCTGTACTGGGCTGCATTCTGGCCACGTTTCTGGCCAAGACGTTCGGCCCTAGCCGGATAATGTTCTGGCACACGCTACCCAACGCTATTGGATGGGCTCTGCAGGTGAGACGACTAACTTTTCGCGGTCACAGAAAGGCAGAAGGTCCATCAGTCAATTCACAATGCGCGATTTGATTCATGCGTAAACGATGCGGCTTGTCTAATCGCGATGTTTTTTTATAATCGTTTTATGAAAAAAGCATGAGTCCCCACTTTTAGGTCGAACTGCTGCCGAGCAGCAAATAACCTCAGTTTAGTGATGATCCGATCTCGTGACCTTTCATAGAGCCACGGACCGGGGTGGGGCTGAAGTACGAGCACAGCACCCACTGCCCCGTGTCGCCAGATGACCTTGTTTTAAACCGCTATAACCAAACGTATCTGGTCATGTCCAGATCGGTTGGCCCGTCCCGAGCCACCGATACCGCCGCCAATAGATGTTAATGAATAAATATTTAATATAGACCTGTGGGTCGTCTTTGACTTACACTGTCAAAGCTTATTGTCGTAAGCAATAGATGTCACGATAAAAAGCGTTCAAAGCAACTGCTTTTTGTCGGGCACTATACTATGTAAATTATGACCGAAAGGGCTGAGCAGCTATTTATGATATTGTATGAGAGATCGGCATAGCTGTGATGCATCATATCAGCTGGAGTAAATAAATACGACTATACGAGTACATTTACTGAGCGAGGGTGTGCCCGGACTTTGAACTCGGTCTGGAACTAATTTGTGTCACTTATCGGCTGTCAGCACGTTCAGTGCGAGGCGAGTTCTTTCGCCGATTTCAACCTCATGACCCTCTCATCCGCTATCACAATGGGGTTGTAAAAATATCGTTCGTCGCTGCGCGAATCCAGCGGACTTCTAACAAACGCCTCCGTAGATATCTCTCGTGATGGTCTTACATGTCGTCTATCATCTGGTTCGCTCGTTGACTGTTACCATATGGCCCGGCTGACTGTCTCTGCCGGCCCCCTCGCCGTTCTTTTCCTGACCATCTATCTCTCCCCTGTCCACCAGGCGCTGGCCACCGGTTTCTGGCCGCTGATGGCCGGCCGGTTCGTGTGCGGCCTGGCGTGCGGCGTGTGCGTCAGCAGCGCTCAGATCTACATCAGTGAGATCAGCAGTCCGCGGGTGCGCGGCGTGCTGCTGATTCTGCCCGAGACGTTCGCCACGGCCGGCCTGCTGATGTGCTACACCCTCGGCCTGCTGCTGCACTGGAAGATGGTGGCGGTGGTGTGCGGCCTGGTGCCCAACCTGGTGATATTCGCCGGCTTCCTGCGACTGCCCGAGTCGCCCACCTGGCTGGTGTCCAAGCACCGCCTGTCGGCGGCCGCCGAGTCGCTGCTCTTCTTCCACGGCCGTCGGTACGCGGCCGACAGCCAGGTACAGCTGATCCTGGCCGGACTCGAACAGACCAAAATGTCCGTCTGCGAGACGCTGCGACTGATGCGGCACAGTGTCTACCTGCAGCCGGTGCTCATCATTGCCGTCCAGATGACCATCCTCAACTTCTCCGGCATCAACGCCATGTTCGGCTACGCCGTGGTCATCTTTCGTCTGGCGCGCACGGGCATCAACGAGTACCACTGCGCCATGGTGCTGGCGGCGGTGCGGCTCCTCTGCAACATCGGCAGCACGACACTCATCGACCGTCTCGGCAGACGCGTGCTGCTCTCCCTCTCCGGCGCGTTCTGCACCGTATCGCTGGCCGTCATCGGCGCCTACTTCTACCTGCGGGAGCAGGACGTCCAGCAGGTTCACGGACTACACTGGCTGCCTCTGGCCGGCATGATCTGCACCATCTGCAGCTACTCGCTCGGCATCGGACCCATCAGCTGGGTCATTTTCGGCGAGATGCTGCCGTCGTCCGTGCGGGAGCTCTACGGCAGCATCATCATCATCTTCTGGTCGCTGACGCTGTTCACGGTGCTGCAGGTGTTCCCAGAGCTGACGGCACTGCTCGGGAACAGCGGCACCTTCTGGCTGTTTGCCGGCGTGTGCGCCGTCCAGGTGCTGTTTGCGTTCTGTGTGGTACCCGAGACGCGGCTCCGCACACTGGAGGATATTCATCAGGAGCACTTTGTCGGCAAGAGCAAGGGCGAGGCGGAAACGGAGGGCGGAGAAATCTGAGTGGTTTCAGCGGTGGACGGGAATGGTGCGAAGGAATGGGATGGGGTGTGAAAGCGAAAGAGTGGATGAAGGTTGATAGGGAGAGAAAGAGAGGGGGAGGGGAGAGCACATACAACTCCTGTCTGCCATATCTTCACGTCAGGAATGTCATGCGTGGCACTGATGCGATCGTTCGGAGAATGATTCAGCTCCGTGCTGGCTGCGTCTGGGGAGGGCTGGGGAGTAGCAAATAACTCCCAGTTCAATACTGTGATGTGATGATGTGAGACGAACATGTGACATGCATTAATTAGCTATGGATTTCCGTCGAGTCATGTTTGGTAGTTTTTCTTTAACGATATTCTCCTGTATTGAGTTTGAGTGCGTGCCGCGATAAAAATCTGTCTTTGTAGGGATGTTGTATAATTACGCTTTTTCACTCAAGTGTTGACTGTGAGTCACTAAAATGAAAAAGTCGTGCGTGTGCCATAACTGGTAAAGAAGATCGGTCTCACATCTTGTGTGTTGTGTCGAATGTGGAGCTCGCATTGATGGGACAGTAGATTCCGACATGCTTTTTATCTGCTGTACGAGTATGATCATAGACAAGGGTGTCATTTTATATCTCGTGGGCTAGCTATTGGCATCTTTAGAGTAAGCTATGGTTTCCCTAATTCTCGACAGAAAAAAATCTTGTTAAACATCATCGTACTTCGAGGTGTGTGACTCCGGATGTGCGATCATTGCACAGTGTGCAGCGTGCATGCACGAACTTTCAGTGGCGAAGGACGACCATATCGATGGCGATGCATCGATGGGTTTGCGATATGTGTTATCCAGTGTCGCTGTCGCTTGTAAGCTGTCATGTCATGAACATATCATGCCCGAAAAGATACGCTCTCGAACTCTGGGCAGTGACGGTGCCTTGCATGCGCTGGGGAGTGCTGGCAATATCAATTTTAGTAATTCACAAATCTGATATTGCTATGATATCTTGTCATGGACAACCCACCGATGTGTAGTGAAATCACGAATGATTTAGTATTGAAACGTGGTAGTGGAAGCTAATTTCGGTAGCCTGCAAAGTTAAACGCATATTTATTTTCCATATCTTGTGACATTGCAGTAATCAGTGAGATTATTAGCTTTGTCACTGAAATGTTGTAAATAAATGAACGAGTGAAAACAAATATGTATCTTCGAATGAGTGGACACTGGACTCAGTGCGGGACTCCTTTTTGAGAGACGGCTAGTGCACAAAACAAGGCGTACTTATAAATTTCGGAGAGGATATTCTAATTGTACAAAAATGCCCTAGTTAGCCACACACTGAACGTAAGGAGATAAAAAAAAAACGTAATACTAATCGAAACAAAAGGCCGCTGAAAAGGAGGAAACCAAAAAGGGAACTTTCAACTTCGTAATGAGTACTGCGGGGCTGCCACTGGTTCAATGGGAAACAAAGAACATCAACCTACTTCAACGTCAAAGTGGGTGTAACGTCAGGCCTACCCTGACGCTGTCGTCAGGCCTACCCTGACACTGCACCCACCCTTTCAGTACCGGACGGATCCGTAGCTGGATCTGCTAGTGGTCGGGACGCCAAACAGTCACCTGACCTGGGAGGTCGAACATTACGTGAGATCCACAGACCAGTTACGTGATGCCCCATACGTTTACCAGAGGAGCAAGAGAATGTTCACCTTTTATCGGAGATAAAATGACTAGAAGAAAACGTGTAAGGGCCCAAAATGAATCGGCAACATAGACCACTTGTAACCCAGCAAAGCCGAGTCCGATCGACCAGACTCATGCGTAGTGACCGTCACCTATGCTCCCGCTCAGTTCCTCTCCGGGCCACCAGTCGCGCAGTGGCGCCACCGTCGCCGCCCCTCTGCTACCGTCGGCCGGTGACCTGCCGCCGCGCCGCGTCAGTCTGTGCCCATCACCGGCACCATGTGGACCGCCCTGTACGGAGCGCTGGTGGTCGCGGCCGCGACGGCCGTCTGCGGCGGCTACAGTGAGGACTTTTTCTCGTCGACATCCCGGCTGGAGCAGCTGGTGGGCCAGGAGGAGGTGGTGGTGGACAAGCTGGAGCGGTACCTGGAGGAGGCCTACCACAGCCTGGAGACGGTGCGCAGGTCAGTATCTGGAGGAGGCCTACCACAGCCTGGAGACGGTGCGCAGGTCAGTATCTGGAGGAGGCCTACCACAGCCTGGAGACGGTGCGCAGGTCAGTATCTGGAGGAGGCCGGAGACGGTGCGCAGGTCAGTACCTGGAGGAGGCCTACCACAGCCTGGAGACGGTGCGCAGGTCAGTATCTGGAGGAGGCCTTCCACAGTCTGGAGACGGTGCGCAGGTCGGTATCTGGAGGAGGCCTATCACAGCCTGGAGACGGTGCGCAGGTCAGTCCCAGCGACCCCGCACTGTGGGGAGATCATATTTACTGCTGCAATCAATTAATCTGGGAATATTAGCCGGGCTGAAAATAGAAGAAAAACAAATATGACCTTCGAAGGCATGGACATTTAAATTTGAGTGATAGACCCACCTGCCATCCTTGATCCTTTTACAGTTGACATTACCACGACCAGGGGCGTCGACGCGTAAGGAAAACTGGTCCGACTTTTTCTCGGGGGGCCCCCACCGGTGGGGGCCCCAGGTGTTAGGTTAGGTTAGGTTAGGCAGGGGCCCCCGTGGCCGCAGCTGGGCCCCCGAGAGCCCCAACAGGGGCCCCCGCGGCCACAGCAGGGCCCCCGCGAGCCACAGCAGGGCACCGCCTAGTCGAAAAAGTGGTCCGACTAGTCGGAAAAGTCGGACCGGTGTCGACGTCCCTGACCACGACCGCGTGTCACATAGACACTAACCACTTAGAGTAAACCGGCGGTAGGTATGTAAGTCACACCAGGTTGTTTATTGTTTGGTTTGTTTGATGAGAATTGAGACCCATCCGGCTATCGAGAACTCTTTAGGGCCGTGCGGCGTGCAATAGGAAGATATAGGGGAGACATGAGTCTCAGGCAGATTCGATGACGAACTTGAACTGGTGCGTCGGTCGTCGAATCGCCCCACGGGACCAAGCCTATCTTGTTTGAAAAAGCGTGTCTTGTCCCCTGAAAAAGCAAAGCCATTCAGTTGCTCAGACGGTGACCCCGAAGAAAAACATATTCATCGAGACTGTTCCTATTTGAGCTTCTCTATACATCTACCCTCCCCGTTGTGCGGTGACCGTCAGCTAGGGATAGCGGAGTGTAATCAATACAGATAGTTGCTCTAGTTGGTAAGGATGAACTAAAGGACAGAAAATGCTCATATCCCCTCCAATCCTCGAGTGGGTTGCGAAAGAAGAGTAGTCATCGCTGGGTAGAAACGTCCTCAAAGACTGCAGGCTCAGTTAATTAACTAAAATGTAAGCATTTAGGGACAAAATGCCAAGAACCCACGGTCTGCAACGCTCAATTTAATGTAGGTATATAGGGACTACAACGCTACCTCTAAACGTATCTTCGGGTTGCATCGCCACGTCTAAGCAAATCAAAACTGCAACGCTTCGTCTAAACGTATCTAGAAACTGCAACGCTTCATCTAAACGTATCTTGAAACTGCAACGCTGCGTCTAAACGTATCTGTCTAGGAACTGCAACGCTAGGCTTACACGTATCTCGGGAAAGCAGCGCTAAGCTGAAACGTATCTCGATAAGTAAATAAGTAAATAGCCAGTACTGTAGTACCGAAGCTGTAGACCTGTAGCAGACCAAAGCTGTAGTACGCAACGTGAAAAGGAATGCATAGGTCTGCAGCGTTTCGTTAAAACGTACTTAGGAACTACAGCTTCCAATAGGAACGTAGGTACGTACGTACGGAAGGATTGCAATCTTACAAAAAGCGTTTCTGGAGAAGGCAGCGCCAAATGAAAATACATCTACAGAATGCTCCCAAATGCGAGAGTATCCGAGGCAAAAAAAAAAATGCAACGCCTAGCAGCGGAGTAACACAATGATCACCTGACGCTAAGGCCTGCATACCGAGGGGAATATCTAACGAAGCCGGAGTCCAGCTGGAGACTGCAACGCTCCGTTACTATGCATCCGGAGACCTCAACTCTGCAGTGGGTGGTAACTGGTATCTGAAGACTGCAGCGCTCTGATATAAATATAGCACTTAATATGGTGCGGCGCGATATCATGTCATTTTCCGTATAAGCTGAATATGCATATGAAACAGTCCGTCCAGCTGCAATCCAAGGAAGGAGCGTGCATTCGAGCCTGTGAGGAACGCTGACTAGGTCTGTCCAGCTGTCCCCTGTCCATGTAGGGTATCGCGGAGCGTTGACCCTGTATCCGATTCTCGCCCGGCCGGCTGGGAGAGCGAGTGTACCCGGCGCGTGACGTGCGTACCAGCGTACCACCACCGAGGCTCCGCTCGGCCGGCGGCCTGTCCTCTGCCGCTGCGTGAGCGGCGGGCCGGCCGCTGGCCCACTTCGGACCCTCCGTCCGTCTGCAGCGGCATTCCTGCAGTGCCGGCACGCGGCGGCGCGGCGGCGCGGAGCCGCGGGGTCGGCCCATGGGCCGCTCGCGCCACCGCAGACGGCCGCATACTGGGACGCGCCAATTGGGACAGGCCTCCGTCTGCAGCCGAACATCGGCCCGGCAGGCTGCGGGAGGGTGGACAGACAAACCCGTGGAGATTACGTAGGACGGTGACAGCGCTGAGCCTGCATAGGACGTTTGTTTGTTTGTTTGTTTTGTTGGGTTAGGCCCTTTCGGTCGACAAGACCATTGCAGAGCCGGAAGGATGATAGGATTTAGGGGGAGACATTGGTCTGGGCAGGCACCCTAGTGAGTCGCCGGGGCTGAGCCCGTCCAGAGGACAGGCCACCCAGCCCCAAGACACTCACTGCACCCGGCTACGGGGTGCGCTCCCTCGGGAGCAGCGGTGCCGCTCCAAGGGAGCAGCCCGCATGAGATAAAGTTGCCTGTCCAGCCCGGAAGGGGGTTGTGGCGTGGAGGAGAAGGATTTCAGTATCCTGAGGATAGAAGCACGGATAGGTGCATAGGACGGTGACCCTAGGAGTTTTTATAGGACTGTGACCCTGCTATGATAATAACATGAACAAACGATGGACAAACCTGTCACTGGCTGAGCAGTTTAACATATTCAGCCAACATTAGCCGCATCGCCGCGGCCGCCTATGACCGGAGCCGGTCTGAATGGACGGGCGAGGCCGACGCCGGCTTCCGGTCGCCGATCGGCGGCCTCAATAGCCTCAATAACACCTGTCCCGGCCGGCGTCGGACGCGCCCGCAGTGGGCAGACACCGGCCGCTGCCTGTGCGACGACGCCCCATCACACCAGTGACCTAGTCTTCGGCCGACGGCGTTCGCGCCGCCGATAGCGTGGCGATGACACCGACAGACTGTGCGTTGGAGACAGGCTAAACTCCCGGTCGTGTCGGCAATGACAGGTGGTGTCTGCAGCAGGGTTAGACTCCGCTGTATGGTCGGGTAGCAACGACACTGGTGCCGTGACGTGGCATTGCAAGTCACGGAGAACCGCAAGTGAGCACGAGCTGTTTCGCTCTCAGCTGGCTGATGAGTTAGCGAGCGACGAGTGAGCTCTAAGGAGGAACGGTGGGAGGTGTGGCCGTGGGTGTTTCGGACAGGCGTGGCCGGGCGTCCGCTGCAGACGTGAGAACGACACGACCTGGTGTGGCCGGGCTGGGTGGCTGCGACTGGCCGAGATCAGACGCCGCCGCCATCATCGAAACCACAACAACGCCCTACCGCTACACCGCAATCACCCTCACACTACCCAACGTCCGTCGACACTGCTACCCAGTCATATTGCAAGTCCATTCTGCCCCCCCCCCCCCCCCGATCTACAGCCACCGTCCAGCGTCGCCGTCCACCTTCCTTCACCACCGCCCACCGTCCACCACCACCGTATGCATTGTTCGCCACCACCGCCCGCCACCACCGTACCAGAGAGAAATGGGTCACACCGGCCGGCCAGACGGTGCGACCTTGACCGCCCCATGGGCCGACGCGGCCGCCCGGTCCAGCCCGGCGGTCTGCTCAGAGCTGCCGACTCGGTCAATGGCCAGCAGCACAATGACACGCACTCCCGGTAAACGGTCCGCTTCAGGCTACGTGCAGCGGCGTGACTGGTCGATCTGAAGCAGTTAAGAATGAATGGCTTCATCGCTTAGCGCGGGTAGTAACACGATCCGAAATACGGGTCATCTACGGGTAGACATCGACGATAGAGGTAAAACGAAATCAGATGGGGGTGTATAAAATAGGTAACTTTTCTAATGTCCAAGATATGAAGTGATTCTCTGGAATCACCTGTAACAGTGTTCTACTTTATTCGTCTCCCCGCTGCAACTCCACATTTCGCTCTCGAAGCGTGCAATCCCGTCTCTCGTCTGTCCGTCTATCCGCTTGTTCATTCCTCCGTCCGTCCGTCCGTCCGTCCGTCCGTCCGTTCGTCCGCCCGTCCGTCGTTCGCAGCAGACAGGTGGCACCGTTACTCGGCGCGGCGGCGGCGCGGAGTGGCGCAGCGCGGCGCGGCGCGGCACGCTCCCACTATATGGGTCGCGGCGCGCGGCGCTGGGTCATTTCCGTGCGTCCAGTCGTGGTGCCGTGACTCTGCCACATACATGACCCACACGCAACTCCGCAGAACTGCAGTGGGGCGCACGGGCTGATACCGGCGGAACGCGCAGGAGGTATTTACGAGGAGAAACTGAATGAGAGATAAAGAGCTATACCTACGACTTCCAAAACACAACACATACGAGTATACGTGGTTACATACAGGCAGCTTTTGCTAATTTGTCAGGGAACTCAGATTTGTTTTTCAATAGAAAAACACAATTCTAAAGAATAGTGTTTTAACTATTGACAACAAACCTTCGGTTACATACATTAGGAAACATTAAATACATCATGCTCGAACATACACAATACATAATAATACATAATAATGTAGGTAGGTACACAATACACACAAAGAGGAGTGGATGTCAGATCAAAAGATTGTTATTCTACATTAAGAACTTTCCTGATAGAATTGGCTGCAGCCGAATTCATTAGTTGAATGCGCTTGTCTGTTTTATTGACTCCGGGCCTTCGCCCCTGGAACAGATAACGGATCCTCCTCAATCATCGATTTCTACATTTTATCTCCTCTTCGTTGTTTCTCCATTTCTCAGATAGTACCTAATAAACATGAACAATAAACATTTTTGAATAGCCAACCTAAAGATAGGAATGGAAAGCCAACGAATACCATACAATTATGGCTGGCACTAATTTGACAAATCCGGGTGACTGTTAACTGTTAAATGTTAGCTGCTGGCCGACAGGACAGATTAGACGTATCTCATTAGCAGCGAGAAAAGATAGCCAAGTACATATAGCCGAGATTGCTGGTGAGTGGTACTGGTGCCACATCAAGATCTGCATAGCGGGCAACCGAGCCCAGTGCTATCATACAGATTGTCCAACATTATGAGTCATTTCATGTTGGTTTTCTCCGCTGTATTTACATATGCCTAAAGACTAAGCCACTTTAACGCAACCAGATCGGACAGCTGATACCATTACATGTTTAACAAACGCTATTTCCTGTCCAAACTGACGTCACCCATGGTCTCTAACCTCCCCCATTGCACTGTTCTGGCAGCTATGTGACGTCATTCCGAGAGATGCGGGCCGGCTCGTCCATCCACCACCCGGTCGAGGCGTTCCTCATGCTGCGGCGGCTCACCGTCGACTGGGACATCGTCGAGGACGACCTCCGACGGCAGGCCAACCAGACGCAAGGTGGGTAAAGACTTCAGTGAATGCGATGTCTGTGGCGATTGTGACGCAATGATAGAAGCAAGTTATAGAGCTCTGTACACGGTATACAGCGGGTCTATGAGGACCTGTAGGTATTCCATACTGCTGATGCTGATGAAGAGTTGTTGGGGGGTAGCGCATCCATTTAAAGGCGCCATATCGTGTCCCATTTGTGGTAATAAATAGGCATAACTAAAGATCATGAGCCTATGAGTATAGCTGCGTTACATAACCAAATACAACAATGAACAATGTCCCTTCTATAATTCCATGCCGGCGGGTTACTCTCCTCCGACTGCTGACCCCGTCCCAGTGGTGGCCGCGGAGCGCCGTACTGACTACTCAGTCAGTGAGTCGCTGAGTCACTGCAGTGGCCGGCTCGGTGTCAGAGGTTATGTCGCGGTTGGCCGGCGGGTCGGTAGGTCTGGGAGTGGGAACGGTCGGGGTCGGCTGGCCCACATCGCACTCGGTGGACGGCACAGGCCGTAGGGTGCAAGGCTCATACCAGGCGCTGGTTAGGCGTAAAACAAAACAACAATTGTTTCAAAGACCTTCAAATGACCAAGTGAGGAATCAGTTCGAGGCATAAAGTATGTCGGTCAAAACGTTCATATCTACTAGTCAGTACTCGTACAAGTGAACCATGTTCCGCAGCTGTAATTAAAAACATAGCGCTCTCAGGCACGTCACCAATTTTCTAGGCACAAAAAATCGTACACCATGTGAAGTCTTATGAAAGAGTCATTCACAAGTCACGACTCGAGAGCAAAGTTAACTCGCAACCCAGTCGGCTCATCCCATTCAGGTCACTGGCTGATCTCATGACTGTCTGCAGCTAAGTCTGAGTCAGTGTCTCATCAGCGCCTAATGTGGCGTGTCCCGCGCACGCTCCACGTCCGTTTGGGAGCGTGGGAGAGCTACACTCGCGATCGGTGGGAACACCTACTAACGCGGCGCAGCCGATCCAGTGGCGATCGGAGCCGATGGATGGCCGGTAATCAGACCCAGATGTCACTGGCGATGGCGGAGTATTAGGTTGAATCGGTTCCATGGATATAAAAATGTATGGTGGTGGAAGTGAATTTTGGTGGTCCAATGAAGGTGATTTTATTAGGCCCTTTGGTAGACGGTTAGGTATACAGGTCAAACACGTTGTCAATTCTTGGAAGTTGGTGTTCAGAGGAAAGATCGAAGAAGAAGGAGAACGGATGAGAGGGACTGACAGAAGAGAAAAAGTAGAGAGAGAGAGAGAGAGAGAGAGAGAGAGAGAGAGAGAGAGAGAGAGAGAGAGAGAGAGAGAGAGAGAGAGAGAGAGAGAGAGAGAGGGAGAGAGAGAGAGAGAGAAGAAAAATAAAAAAGGAAGAGGAAGAGAGAGGGAGGAGAGAGGAGGGGGAGAGAGAATCTGCAAAGCGGCAAGCGACGCGACGAACTCTCACCGTAACATTGAGACCACGCATTCCCAACAAACGAACCCTATCAAATAAAGCTGATTTGGAATATTGCCCAAGACCCTCATCAAACCCTCATCATCCAACCGTTGACCTATGATTCGTCAGCACTCGTCTTACTCTCACCGGGCGACAGAGCAGAACCCATCATCACCCTCACCTCTCTCCATCGGTCGGTTAGACGATAACAGCCGACCAGCCCCCGTCACCACCACCTCACGCACCGGTAGCACCCCACGCGTCATCATCCCTCCGGTCACCCGGCCGGGCGCCGAGAAAGTCGTGAATCACGGCGGCAGCGGCACACTCGACCGTGAAAACACGGCCAGCGGCACCGTCAGTCGACCGTAGACGCCGAACAGGTACCGAGTCAGACTCCCGGACTCAGCTGGACTGAGTCAGCTGAACTGGACTCTCGGAGCCCGTCAGTCGCAGAAGGGGCTTCCAGAATCCAGTGAATGAGTCCTACTTGTTAATCGTGGATATGACGGAGCCTGCATTCTTAAAGATCCTTCCCCTTATTCCCATTATTCATAAGGATTCCTCGTGACTTGTGAGAACAGCGGTCACCGAGTTCCGCGCACATGAGCTCGAATTCCAATTCCAAAAATGAAGAGACAGACCACCATCCTCGTCAACGAAGAGAGAAAAGACCCACGGCTACGAGCAAAGAATTACCGTCGTCCAGACCAGAAACACGTTATAGCTGTGGATCGGGATCCACGGAATGTTTGTATCGCTCGACGGTTTCGGGTGTCTAGCGCATTTCCCCAGAAATGGAATGCGGAGAACCGACGGAGCTAGCTGATATACGAGTACGTCTGAGCTGGAGATAACTTCGGAGAAAAAGCCTCAGGAGATATCGTGACCTCTCGGTGTGGAAAGGTCACTGTTCCGTGCGCGAAAGTGAACGGCGCAAGGGTAAATGAGATGTTGTCGCCTTCCAGAATCAAAGCAAGACAAAACACAAGTGAGGCATTTTCCAAGAAGTTCTGTTTAGGAACATCGGTATAATATATAGTATGCTTCAGGTTAACACGGATGAGTAGTCTGTTGAGGTGGTAATCCCGTTTATTATCCCACCATTCAGTCGGTGTAATTCCCACCTGATTGCTGAGCACTGACATCATAACAGCGTTATAATTAGTGTCATTATACGGTTAACTCGTTGACCCACATTGCCACCACGCTCCACTTCACCCAGTTGCAACTATGGTATAGAAATGTATCGGAAGAAGAAGCCGAGAACGCACGAAAACGCCTGAGTGTAGCACAACGACATGTTTCGAAACTGACAAAAGTAGAACCAGGTTTACGTCACGAAAACCGTTTAGACGACTTTAACGGCTCGAAAATTAGTCAGGCTCATCCTTTAGCAGCGTTTTCGCTCTATTTGAACAGCTCGCACAACTCGCGTCGAAGGGCCATAAGATCTCCAGCACAACTCGAATTGAAAGCCGCTCTTTATCACGCGCAGCGGGGTGAACGCACATCCGGGAGTGGCCATCACCTCCCGCCCCGCGGCTTCACCGGGTCAGTGCGCCTGAGACCGGACTGTCGGACAAAGGCTCACTGCAGACCCTCCTTGTTCGCCGGCTGACCCTGCAGTCGCCGCGGCGGCGGCGCTGCATTCCAGGTCAGCCGAGAGGAAGTGGACGCGGTCGGCGGGCGCGCCGGCGCCGGCTGTTTGGGTGTCTGGGCCGCTGCTGCAGGCCGCGGAGCAGCGCAGAGGTCCCACGAGAGAGTTAGCACGCTCGGTGAGCCGTGAAGGCACACATCTGGCGGCTCGGCAGGTGCGGCTCTAGTCGCAGAACTGCACTGAGAGCTATGTCAGAGGTGACCGAACTCCGGCCTAGAAGCTTCCTTCATGACATGCTAAGAGCAGAAGGGCCTCGGATCTTAGAGTTCTAAACACCCACGCAAGTCAAAATAACAAAGAATCAGCCTGGGGAGATATTGTACAGGACACGTTACACTGACTGCTGCTGAGCCTGACGTTCCACCTCTCTCCTACAGAGACTCTGCGCTCGATCGGCGGGTTCCGGGCCGACCGGCCGTTCCCCGAGGCGGACGACCTGCACGGGGCGGCCGTGGCGCTCATACGACTGCAGGACACCTACCAGCTCAACATGACCCAGCTGCCGCGGGGACATATCGCCAGCTTCGGCCCCGAGCCGGCCGCAGGTGAGCGGTGGGGGCGTGAACATGGCATGGTCGGGGAAGGGAGGACTCGAACATGACTGACCAATGACCGACCATGACCGACCGCCGGACAATCTGGAGGTGTGCACACACGAAAGCAGGTAAGCATTCACAACTCCAAAACTATTTGGTCCGTAAATGAATCGTCATTGAGAGCAAACGTGCTTAGAAACGAACCAGAAGATAAATCCTCTAATGTGGCCATCAGTTGTGGCATGATTATACTGACCTACCCGATAGCTGAGGCAATCCATTCGAAAAGGTAAACACAATGACTGTTGGTTCTGCTCTCATTCGTCCTGGACTTCTCTCGGAGAAACAGAGCATGGCGTGCGCCGGAGAGCGGCAGGCACACCGTCATCCGTTCCATTCAGAATGAGGAGAAAGGGCAGAGTGGGCAGATGAGAAAAAGACGCGCCAGATGCACTCTTTTCACTATCGTCGGGCGGTATGAGCAGGCGGATCAGCTGGTACGGTTCAGACTGGATGATTGCCAGAACCACACGGCCGCTGGGCCCGAGCGGGACTCCCATGGGACGGTCATTGGTCTGTCGATTCTCCCGGAGACTGACTTGCAACGGTGACAAACAAACTGTTCAGGTACCTTGTTCTGTCCCGGTGACTAAAAACTGATCAGCATGGTGACGAAAAAAGCGTCACACAAAGCCGCTCTGTGCTGTCTGTTGTTTGTCGCACAGCTATGAGAGGCCATGCCGACATTTCGTTCCTGCATAAATTTCCAAACTCCAAACCTATACACCAGTTGCAAATCGATCAGTTGAATGACTCGCCAACCGCCCTGGCCAGTCAAACCGACTCATCACCAGTTTCAGTCTGACTAATATTTTCTTGTCAATGGATCGACTCTTTGCTATTTAAGCTGAACTCATACACCAGAGTCGGACAGACACGTCACCAGTTTCAGTCGGACGACGTCGTTCATTCCCACGCCACGGCGACAGTCGGCCGATGGGTGCCGCCGGCCTGGTTCGGATCCCGACGATTGGTGTGGGACAGAACCGGTAATGGGTGGCCGGGTGGAACCACTGAATGGTGAATAAATGGAACCACCGAACGGCGCCGGAATGTTCTTTTTATATGGCGTAAATTATATTCAGAATACGACCTTTACGTGAAATAGCAACATTGTTTTGCCATTAAATTCATTCAAAGTTTACCAAATTCCTTGATTTTATCGGGTAAGCATAATAAGGTATCAGGCGGCAAGAACAATTTCAGGATAATCAATAATGCCTCTTCCGACTAATAAAAAACAGACGCTAACAGGCACTCGAAACATTTTTGTAGCAACATGGAGGAATGTCAAGATCCTGTACGACTGTCGTATGAACAAACAACAAAACCGCGCAGCATAGCCGGACCCAAAGCCAAGACAATATGAGAGTGATATTCGGCTCTAATGCGATGTCTCTGTCGCCGTGAAGAGGAAGGGAAAGCCAATGGGGGAGGAGAGGTCAGCGAAAGACCCCCATTAGAGACCGTCCCGGGCGCCGGCGTCGCGCGATTATACTAAATGCAGAGCACTCAGCGCTGGAGGATAATGGGCGCCGGGCGACCTTACCTCTAATCGTGCTGGGACTCGACGGGCGCGGGCCAATTTACGACTAAAAAACCGGATCCAGATGATGAGCGTCGGAGAGAGGAGGCATGTTCAGGCAGTGGATAAGCATGCCGCTGTGACTTTCCTTCGACAAACGAGCCGGCCACTTGTCTGTTTGTTTGCGGATTGGGGTCGCCCGGTCATGGGAATGTGCACCTCTCGTGTCGTCGTCATGGGTCAGCTGGCCGGGTCGCTGGACTTGCCCACGCTTCACTACCGACACTATGCAAACAAGCGGCATGTGACTTTTCCGTACACACTAACAGTTAACACAAATACTTTACGTGCCCGAACGTCGCCATTGGTCGGAATTCCAGCTGCGATCTGGGACGGCTGTCTCTCTCTGGTCCGAGGACCGACTCTGACCAGTCCGGTCCGGTCTGATGGACCGCGATCTGACCATCCACGGAGCGCGTGTCACCTACTGATCAGAATTCCCCACCGGTCCCGGGAAACGCCACGGGCGACTCACACGTCCCGTCCTCTCGGAGACAAGAATCGATAGCATCATAGCTATACGGTCAGTGGCCTATACCACAGAGAAACGAAAATACTGGCCAGCTGGCCCAACAGCCCCTGCAGTCTGTCCCGGTAGAACTCAGGCTTCAGCTCCAGCAGCTCGAGATCCATTTCCTGCCCATTGTCTGTGCATCACATGGCATTGTCATTGCGCATTGTTCGTGCTCGACAGTGCAGAGGCGGCGGCGAAAGCTGCACAATTGACATGGGATGGTCAAATATCTCCTAATCAATATCAAAGTCAAATATCAAATTGTCAAATATAAAAATCAATACAAACCTTCCTGCAGCCTAAGCTGTTCTTAGAGTTGAGTGGGGATACATCTGTCTTAGTGCCATCAAACGTCACCATAGCTGCTGCCTGTCGCCTGACGCTGTGCAAAACAAACATTGCCCATGCGCAGCGGATTGGGGTCGCGGCGATTGGGGACATGCCACTCTGAGCGCGGTTCTCGGCCTGCCGACAAGCTAGCCAGGCAGGCAACACATCGGCCCGTCGCGCGAGGACAGAGGAATGACAATCGTTAGTGGCACTCGATAGGTCCTTCTATTCAGGGGCCATGGACGCACCGGGTGTCACTAAGACACCGAGTAGGGATCCGTCTTTCTCCGGCTACCTCAATCTTCCTCCGTCTCTTACCATGCACTACTCTTCGTTTAAAACGCTGGTCTTGGGAGACATCGCGGCGAAAGTGCGCACGCCTGTTTTTGTTGATCGCATGGACTGGATGGTGTGCCAACTGCCAGCAATGAGCAGGTGTGATGGAGCATGCAATACAGCAACTGACACTAACCATACGGAACTCAGAGTTCGTAGCCGCACGACTGCACCCAATTTCACCGCAAAGGTGCTTACAGCGTTCCAACGAAGCACGCAGAGCAGCTCGAATCACCTTACACTATACACAGCTCTAACTGCCATGAAAAGACAGTTATAAACAGAAAGTATCTTAAACCGTCTTCTGTCGGTGAGGGTCTTTTGCAGTCTGCGAGACGGCTCACCGTAACTCCGCAGCTTTGCCCCACGTAGTCCGCTGGTAAGCACGACAGCCTCAACACTCCAGAGTGCACCGCCTGAGTGCCCCCTCTCTCCCGCCGGTTCCAGAGTTCCAGGGCGCCCAAGAACTGAGCGTCCTCTCAGAAACCCGTTAGCCTGAGTGTACTCCTCTCAACCCGGCAGAGTTTCAGAGCGCCCAGGAGCTGAGTGTCCCCTCCCCCGGTTCCAGAGTTCCAGAGCGCCCAGGAGCTGACTGCGCGCGACTGTCTGTTCATCGGTCGACACGCGTTCAGCCGCGGCCTGTACGACGCCGCCATCGAGTGGTTCGAGGCGGCCCTGTGGCGGACAGAGGAGGAACCGGAGGGCGCCGTCACCGCCACACGGGACGAGATCGAGCCGCTGCTCACATCCACCATCAAACTGGTGAGCGAGACGCTTACTTTTCGTCCATGTGCCTCTACTTATCCCGAACTTGACTTTTATTCCATCCAAGTCCATCTTTCCGTCTGCCGGCCTGTCTGTGTGCATGTCTGAAAATTTTACCCATCCGCCCGTCCAATACCATAAATGTGTCTACATTGTGTCCGTCTGTCTGTCCGTCTCTGTCTGTTTCACTGTCTCTCTGTCCCCTTCCCTCGCCCCGCCGCAGCACGACTCGGTACTGGAGGAGCAGGGTCCGCGTGGTGAGGACTGGCGCACCAACCCAGTACCGATCGACCGCCGACTGGCCGAGCAGGAGCGGTACCAGCCGCCGCGACTGGCGGTGTTCCGGCCGCGGCTGCACCAGCCGCAGGCAGAGGCGGAGGAGGAGGAGCACTACCAGAGACTCTGCAGAGGGGAGAGACTCCGGGTGAGAGGAGGGGGAGGGATGTTGGAGGCGGAGCGGGAGAGAACGTGAAGCAGAGGTAGAGGGATGAGCAATGGAATGAAGAGAAGGGATTAGGAATTCTGCAGCCATTGTCACCAACTTTGTTGGAAAGAAGTCTGAACTGTCTTACTGACGGTCAGCCATTCTTATATCAGCAAGCAGCGTTACGTTAAATGTCAACGACTCTTCTTTCGAAACCCCAGCATAGGACGGAGACCTCAGGCAGGCAGACCCAAAAGGTGTCAGTTGTCACCTGAGCTGACCCCCTCTCTCCCTCGACCCGCCCTCTCCCTCTCCTCCAGTCGCCAGCGGAGGAGGCCGAGCTCAGCTGTCACCTGACCTCCAACGGCAGTCCTCTGCTGCTGCTGTCTCCGCTGCGGGTGGAGGTGCTCAGCCGTCAGCCCTACATCGTCATGCTGCACCAGCTGGTGACCGAGACAGAGGTCAGCCAGTTCCAGGAGCTGGCCGGGCCGCGGCTGGCCACCTCCCGGCACCGCCACCCGGACGGCGAGTTTGTGGCCAGCATGAGCCGCATCAGCAAAAAGTGAGTCACAAAAGGAGGCAGTCTAGGGGTCTTTTCCAGTCGTACTTCCCAACACCTCTAAACTCCTCCAAGAGCAAGATAGAGGAGGTTGGAGCAGGGCCCTCCCTGGCTTTGTAGGGGCTAGAGCTGCCACTGAAACAGGGAAGCAATCTTGGAGGAGTTTAGAGGTGTTAGGAAGTGCGACTGGAACAGATCCTATCTGTCTACCCCTGACGTTTTCGGCTTGTCAGTAGTCTCAGTCTATCTGTTTCAGTACAGCCTCAGCCTAGATCAGTAGGTATGCCATGTTATGTGCGCAAAATGATCTGAACAGTATGCGCGCCCTAACAAATTGACAAATCAGTCTTTATCTTATGGTGATAGCCGTCTATGGCATCCTCGTCAATAGGTATCTCTTGACGCATGTGTCCACTGTCCATCCCTTCAGCGCCTGGATCCCGGACGACGAGGACCCGACGGGAATGCTAGCGAGGGTCACACGGCGAGTGGCAGCCTCCAGCGGACTGAAGTGCGACAACGACATGGCCGCCGAGGCATTCCAGGTGAGGACTGAGTAGGAATGACTGGCGGAGGTACCAGTGCGGCCAGGCCCATAAGAATGAAAAGGACAAGGAGACTTTGAATGCGACCGTATGCAATAAAACCAACGAACGGTTCCTAAGAAACGCCGTTTGCTTCCGTCATCCCAACACCATTTGACGCCACCCTCCGCTCCCTCAGGTCGCCAACTACGGTATCGGCGGTCTGTACGTGACCCACACGGACCACCACATGGCTGAGGTGCCGCGGGGGCCGCACGCCCACTGGGAGACCATGATCGGCGACCGGCTGGCCACCTGGATGGTCTATCTCTCGGACGTGCCGGCCGGGGGTGCCACCGTGTTCCCGCGAGCAGGCGTCACCGTCTGGCCCGAGAGGGGCAGCGTGGCGTTCTGGTGGAACCTGAACGCCGCTGGAAAAGGAGACGACGACACGCGACACGCCGCCTGTCCAGTGCTGCACGGCAGCAAGTGGGGTGAGTGAGATAGACAAGGCGGTATAATGGGGGACTGGGGAACTCCAGGTGCCTAAAGTCACCAGTCCGGTATGTGCAGTATACACTATACAGTTTGTAATTTCATTAAGTCCTGTAAAGTTAGTTCACCCGGCCAAAGACATTCCTAATTCAACTGTGTGCCATTATTCAATAACGACCTGCGCCTGTTTCAGTATCGAACAAGTGGATCCACTATAACGAGCAGTTCCGAGCAAAGCCCTGTGGGCTGACCCCGGACGCCATTCACCAAACGCCCTGAACACCGAGCGCGAGCGACGCCCTGGGAGCGCCTCAGAAGACAGACTCATCGACGCCCTGGCGCCCTGGGAGCCTCAAAGACGCCCTCACCGCCGATCGGCACCCAATGGAAAGACGCCTGACGCCCCAGCAGATGCTCTAACCGACGCTAGGGCGCTCGACAGGCCCTCAGACTGATGACGGGAGGTCCTGGTGACGTGACTGCAAGTTTTTATGACCGATTGGTCAGACAAGACGGAAACAGACAGGAAAGTGTCTGGCCCCAGACTGTACGAAGAAGGAACGAAGAATGGGGGCAACAAGAGGTCGGCAGTGAGCGGACACCGTCAGCAACGGGCAGCATCAGCCTCTTGCCACGGAGCACGCAACCGTTCGGCATTACACGGGGCGGAGTTAATCAGGTGACTGAAATCAAATACCGCTCAAGCAGTTACGTTCATTGGTGCTGGTCCTGAATGTTTCCTCCAATATGTTTTAGTCGGCCGTGGTCTGAGAGAGCCAGAAGGATAACTTTTAAGGAAATGCACGCTACACGGCAGCGAGTACGTCTGTCATAATGTCATGGCTTCAGGCTGGGTGGACTGTCACATTCTTACAAAACTAATTGAAGAACACCTGCAACGTTCGCGGGGCACGATTGGCTTTGTTCGGGTTTAGAGGAAAAAAAGATGCCGGTGATCTACTAACCCTTCAACTTACTTTAACTACAGGGTGTCTCAAAAGTTCGTTCACAGGTACCAGCCATGCTTTTTTGTCAATAATTCTGAATCAACAAGAAATTAACAGTCGAAATTTTGCATGGGCATTGGTGACAACCTTCCTCAAGCAGTCTCATTGTTTTCAAGAACATTCGACCCTTCATGAGCTCACAAAAAGGGTTCACCTCTGACCATGGGTCAGGCACGAAAATGTAGGTTGCAAAGTCGGGTATGTTGTGAAACTCTCTGTTTCAGGAGTAATGGGAATGGTTAAGTCGGAAATGACACATGGCTAAGTGTCGGCGAGGATGAGTGCAACATGATGATCATCTCATAAAAACGGTGGCTAAAATTTTTGAAGGACGAAACCATGCGAGACTAACGGCGTTTTGAACGACCCTCGCACGACAGCAGACTCGTGTTCCGGAAAGCAGCTGAAAATGCGGTCATAACTATTGAAAACTGGCAAGAAGGTCACAGACAGAGGTTACCCATTTTCAAAAAGTGCAGGTCATCGTAAAATAAAGACAAATTATAATTTAAAATTGTTTATAATATCTATAACGCTAACTTTGGGGGACAATAACACAAAAATCGTCAATGCCAAGAACACCTGACCCTCCAAAAGTGTCAGTTATTGTAAAATTTTATCTAACGAAGTTTCAAGAGGCAGGTCTGCAGCGAATAATTTTCTTTTAAACACAAAATCCCGATAAAACCACACGATGGACAGGTTTGGGCCGTTTACAAAGCAGAACATCTCCCGAGGAAAACATTCCGCAACCGAGCGAAGGTCTTGGCATGGGGAATGACGAGCGCTTGGAATTTGCAAAATTTGCACAATGTGTCTGAGAAACAGACGTCCGACACATTCTGCTACCATATGATGCGAAAAATTTACTCCTGGCACTTCCCGTTTGTTCAGGACTGGGGTCGTTTTGAAAAGGAAAATGGCGCTTGGGATGTCGGCGCCAGTCATTCATGAAGGAGTTAGCGCCAGAGAATGCCTACAAAATACTCAAGAATGGTGTCGATGCAAGCTGTCGGCTTTCAGGGAAAATCAGATGTTGCCGGGGAGCTAGTCAAAACTAAATCCGACGCAGAAACTGCAGGGGATTCCCCTGCAAGAGCTTGAAAGCTGGTAACCTTTTATCAGCCTCCGGCAGCTGACGGAGCAACAAAAATCGGTATGGGCAAATATTTTTGAGATACAGCAAAGGGGTTGGTTTCCAACCTTCTTAATCAGTTGTCAAAGCATGCATATTTGTCTAGTGTACACACAGACACCAAAACCTTATACTTTTGGCTGGTTCTTATATGCTTCATTGGCATGGGAAATGTGTGAACGAACTTTTGAGACACCCTGTAGAGTAGGTTCTTTTTCAACAGTTTCGAGTCTTAAAACACGTTTCCCCAGTCTTGTATTTTTGTGAGTGTACATAATGTTTTGTTTTCATTTGGGCAATGAACTAGCTAGCTGTGATGGTATGCGAAGAGCTAGCAGTGAACTGACACAGCCAGAGCTGTGAATGCGTGCATTGAGCGAATGTTTATGTATTTATTAGATGTGTTTGTGCGTGTGCTTGCGTTAATTCTCGGAATGTAACTCCCGCAAGTGTGTGGAGGACGGGGTGGGGGCGGGGTTGGGCAGGGAGTGGGGTGTAGACCCGTGGTCATTTCCTAACCACATCAATAACGTTATGCATCCCAGTGTGACTTTTTAAATGCTACGCGACTCGAGCAAAATGAGCTCCCGTTGCAAGTGGTAGCTCTGAGTGTTATTAGTACGGTGAGTGTAAATATTGGGCAGCGGCCTCTAGATCCTTGGTCGCCTGCTGTTTTTATTGTTATTGTTATTGTGCATTGTTAGCTCAGGTGTTCGCGATTTATATGAACAAATAAAACCGTCATTATGGTCTCGAAAACCGAACGGATCAAAAGGCTACAGGGAAAATAATGAGAATAACGGTAACATTCTTCTATGTTCGATCCCAAAAGTGTGCAATAAATTAGCCGGCATAATACTTAATGTAGTTATTTGTGGTACATTCCTTGCAAAATCACCAACCACGTACCACAGAAGCTATCGTGTGTTATCGTAGTTTTATCATTATTGGCGGGCATCCCATCCAATTGCAGAAATAAACATGTTACAAACCATCAGTCTTTGGACGGGCGTGCGAGCATCGGAACCACGATTCACAGATTCTGAATGGCATGGCAAGCTAGTCATCTGCCCAAGTAACCGACAGTGTAGTGATAGTCCTAAATGCACATGGCTTCACCCTAATGATCCTCAAACGACCAGGGCCCCGAAACCTCCCCATCTCCCGCCGCTAGACACACAGTTTGCTGACACCACGACACCGTGTGTATTGTATACGTTCTCCAGCGACACTACCAGCCGATGCAGCGTACCTCTTGGGACCAGACAGCAGGCGCAGGGGTGTGCTTCACGGAGCGAGCCAATCGGCCACAGGGTGCTGACAAGGGGCTGCTAATTACGGCAGAATAGGGTACAGGCTGATGCAAGCATGATGCTCGCATCACTAGAGAGCTACCAATGGGGGAGATTATGTAGGATTGTGTAGGGGTAGTTCGATGTCGGCTTATATTTTCCAAGCATAGCTGCAACGCGCAAGACTATGTTCCACAGCTAAAATGATTATAGAGGCATAAATACTGTTTAGCATGGGTAATATTTTGAGACATCAAGGATAATGTTGGCAGGGCTTCTACGTTATCTCGATAAAGTACCAATAGCAGTTCTGAGCCTGCATACACCGGGACACACACCAACACGAGTCTATTCTAAGCACCAACATCAACTTCACCGACAAATAACTCATCAGCAAAACAACCAATCACAGTACGCTAACAGCGACAGCTACAACAGCTCACGCATGAACCGAACAGCCGCAAAATATCCGACGCCGACAGCCTCCCGTGCCACGCCACTTTGGGTCCTGACTGCCTGCTGTATAGACGAGTATGCGAGCTAAGTGCGCCACCGCAGCAAGCCCGAAGGTGTCGATGGAGTTCACTTCTGTGTTGGCTGGTGATGTAATTTCCGTGGTATGCCAGCAGCTGGTGACTGCTGTTGGTTTTAACGGCTCCGTGCAGGCTCGCTATTCCATGCCAGGAAGACTAGATAACAAAATGTTGTCTCCATATAACAGCACTGCTTATTTTACCAATAAGGTATTCGCAGACTACAAAAAGGTTACTTTTCTGTCTTCTTCAGCACGATAGCGGGGCAGAAACCTCACAATCTGTGAACATGCGAGCACTGTGCGCAAAATAAACCCAAAGTTATCAAATTGGTTTACCTACGGAATTCCACCCATGGAATGAAGCAGAAGCGATGCCGGGACAGCGATAGACTAAGAGGTCGGCCACCCATCCAGGCTGAGGTTGTGATACAATCTGTGGAATGCCTCTGACTAGATCAAAGTCTTCTGTGTCACCGAAGACTGATAATCTCATTGAGCTAGCCTCCAAACACATAAAGATAAATAAAATAACAACAAAGCAACTACAATCAAAAGCATAACCTTAAACAGGCAAATAGCACTAGAAAAGCGTTCGAGTTAAGTAGAAGTTGACAAATGAAAGGCTAGCGTACGATCACAGATCGAATACATCAAAGATAGCCAGATCCGAAAAAATGGACCGCAACCGCGCGGCAAGAAAAGCATAAAATCACATATGGATTAAATAAACGACGTTAAATAATGGACTCGTAACAATCACCGTTCGGACAGGCATCAGGCCTGCTCCCGCTCGCCGAGTTCCGCCCAGTCAAACGCGGCAATGGAGACGGAATACACCCGCGCGGTATACCTACTGTGTGGCTATTATGCAGTCCTATCTACTACCGGTTCGACACGCTCATTCCCTAGCCGTTCCGTTTGGGTATGGGCGGCGGGGCGCCGGCGCGGCTGGGGACGGGCGGCGCCGAAGCCGACTCTCGGCTGGGGACGGGCGGCCGCGGCGCCGTCTCCCTGCTGGGGATCGGGGGCGGCGCGCCGGCCCTGGCCGGGATTGTTGGAGGCGCGCCCGTCTCCCGGGCCGGGCCCGCCCGCGGAGCGGCGTCTCTCGCCGGCACGGCCGGGGGAGCGCCCTCCCTGGCCGGTACCACCGGCGGGGCGCCCTCCCTGCTCGGTACGGCCGGGGGAGCGGCGTCCCTACTGGGTACCGGGGGCGGCACAGCCGGCACGGACGGCCCCGCCGGCGTCTGACTGCCGGAGAACACGTCATCCTCCCAGCTGACGGAGCTGGCCGCCGTCCACGGGCTGGAGGCGGCCGAGGTGGGCTGGGTCGGCTGGTCGGCCGAGCCCCACGGGTCAGCCAGCGGCCCGGCCGCCGCCCACGGGTCGGCCGGCTTACCGGGGTCGGCTGACTCGGCGGGGACAGCAGCGCTCTCAGACTCGGCCCAGGGGTCTGCCGGCGGGGCGGGGTCGGGCCCCTCTGACCTCTCAGGTTCCTCCTGTCGGACGGGCTGTGCGGCGGGCCGGGCGCCGACCGGGGGCGGCGGCGGCGGGCGGGACGGTACGGCGGCCGGCCGCGGCGGGGCGGCGCGGGCCACCGTCACCTCCTGGCGGACCTCGATCACCGGCTCCGGCGCAACAGACTGTGAGCGACGGGACGGGCGGGAGGGTCAGGTGTGGGGAAGAGGACAAAAAGATATCATACCTAAACAATATTTGAAGAAATTTGGGCACTGAGCACAAACCCAAGCTACCATAAAAGTTACATGAAATATGCAGATGTAGTAAGTCCGATAAAAGAAAGGTGCAATAAATACGCACAAGGTCACAATCGAAGACATCGCATCTGAAATAAATCCTTTCCCTTCTGCTAATGCAGATATAGTCTGATGTTTCTAAAACACCGATTCGAAATTATTCGCTCGGAAAGTAGGGAATCTTATAAGGAAAAACACCCATGCTACGACGTCAGATAGCACGCGACTCCTGCCAACTGACACCACCCTTTAGAACTGACCTGGGTGGCCGCGTAGGCTGGCGGGGGCGGCCGGGTCGGCTGGGGCGGCCGCTGCGGCTTCAGGACCCCGCTGGCGGAGGCCGCCGCCCACACCGCCGCCGCAGACTGCACCTCTGTGACGAGGCAGACACAGAATAGGCTCAGTATCGGCCGTTAGCGTCGGGCTACTATTGGGACATTGAGGGGGTCAGTATCGGGTTAGGGCAGGGCCGAGGGTCAGATCGGGACAGGAGCTGGGTGGAGTACAACCGGAACGAGGTATGATTGGAATAAGAACCAAGACGCACAAAAACAATCAGAGCCCGGGATACAAAATAGTCGGGGACGATCAGATTAGTTTCCAAGAGCGTTACCACGATCGCCAGTCACAACATATTTTCCGGACATATCATCAAGTCCCCCAGTCTCCCCAAATCTCAGTATTTAGCTCCCCCTCGCCCCCCACACACCTATTTCAGTTTCTGTGACTGGCGAGGCGGGCGGCGATCCGGGCGGCGGCGAGCCCTGGTGCTCGCTCAGCGGCAGGGTATTGTCCTCCCCGAGTCGCAGCTCCTCAGTGACCTGGGCCGTCCAGTCGGGCGTCCGCAGACGGATCGCTATACGGTGACCCTGCACCTGTACACAGGTCACACAGAGGTCAGTAATGTGACATAGGGACTACACTTAGCTACCGGGCGGCCCTACACCGTACAGGCCAACAACGGGCGACTGACGATCGCTTCAGCCAATACCAAACATGCATAATATGTTTTCATAATCTACCTTTACATTAACCTAATGTATAAAGTAACACAATATATACTTACAGAAACCACAGAAACTCGGAAGCCTTATTGAACTCTTATTGATATAATATTGATCTCTTATTGAACTCCAAAAAAATGTCGTCATTTTTTTTTTTTGTCCTATCACGTCCTATCCCGGCGTCATTTTCCTCTTAGACTACCAGTCTCCTCACCTGGACAGAGCCCTGGTGGGAGGCGGCCAGTGCGAAGCCGCCCTCCTTGAACGTCACCCACATGGTGTCGCCGACAAAGCGGACCAGTATGACGTCACCGAATGACGTCAGCTGTGCCAGCAGCTCGGCCATGAAGTTATCCAGCTCGGTGAGCGAGTACAGGTCCTCGGTGTCAGACTGGTGGCGCGCAGAGGAGACGTGGGTGGTGTCAGAGTGCTGTCATGCTGGCTGGCTAGCATGCCGGTGATAACAGGTGACAGAGTGACGTAAGGCAACAGCTTAATAAATAATTGTCTTATCCTAATTCACTGGCGGTATCCCGCATTTGTTCCCATAGTTAGATCGCATCTCTTAGTTCAACCTATCGCGGCGAATGTCAAATTGTACTGGTGAAAATGTCCTAAAAAGAACCAGCATATACTATCAAGTATCAAACCCGTGTCTCAAAATGATCACCTAGGATCAAGACCTTCTACTCTCCCTCCCCACCCGTCTCCTAGCGCAAACCTCTATACCGCTCCCATCTCACCGTGAGTATGACGGAGGCGTCCGGCGGTCCTGCCTGCTGCACCAGCCGCTCGAAGGTGGCGTGGCGCCGCGCGGGGTCCACCTGTCGCGCCTCGACCTCTAGGAGCGCCACCACGGGTCGGTGGTCGGACTGTTTCAGCCCGGCGCACCCGTAGTGGAGCACCCGACCCGGCGTCCAGTCCGCCGCCGCTGCGGGGCGTGGGGAGGGGTGGGGCGGTTGGCGTCAGCACAGGGCGGTGAGGACCAAATGGGGAAAAGCAGCTTAGAAACTATCGGAATATTGGCCGGACGTTGCACTTAATGGCTAGATCGCCAGCCGAAGCATGGTTTGGTTTGTCGAACAAAGATGACAAAAAGAATGGCGAAAACAGTTAAAGTGAGAGATTTACTTTGCCTTCTTCACGTCATCAAACATCAGTAAAAAAACGACAACTTCGATATCAATACGCATCATATCTCCATGATCAACGAATATGGGCCCAAAACGTCAAACTCCTAAGAGCTGTCCAGCAGCCGTAACTCCCATTCCACAGACCTGCCTGGCTGGCGATGCGTCGTTTCCAGAGCAGCACCCGGTCCGTCCAGGCGGGACAGCGGCACTTTTCACCCGTGTCGTAATCGTCCGAGAAGAGGTCGTACTTGTAGGTGGGCGGGAACGCCAGGTCACCCTCGAGAAAGTTCTGGAAACACTTGCCGTCCGCCTGCTGTACCTGGGGATGGGAACAGAACGGCGAGGGTTGGTGGGCGGATCCGAGAGCTATATGTAAATATGGATCACTCAAAGGTCATGGATAACTAAAGACTGCAGTCTGATAACTTCGCGTTCAAAACGGGCTACAGGACCGTTGCGACAACAAGACTATAGAGTTGCTTCATATACGGCAATCAATCATATAAATGGATTTTCCAGGCTAGCTGGCATTTCCTTCACGGTTTTGGGTTTTTATTTTGACATTACGATATCAGTCCCTTCCCCCGTTCCGCCTAGTCGACCCGGTGCGCACCTTGAGCTGATCAGCCTCCAATAGAGTGGCCCAGTCTCGGCGCGCGATCAGCTCCTTGACCTCGTCTCGCGGCAGGTCGATACGGTAGTTGAAGTCGCCGCACCAGAACACCAGGTCGTGGGAGAACACGGTGCGGTTCTGAGACGGCGGAAAGATAGGAAGCAGATGTCAACGAATGGATTAAGGTAATGCGTTGATTATGATGCCAAAATAACCGGCTTTGTATGAGCGCCTAGATAAATACGGGAGTTTGTGGTCCATGGGGACAGCAATTAACAGTAACCATCAATGTGCGGAATCAATACATGGAACGTTGAGGCTACCGGTCAAATTTTAGCAATCGTTGCCTTCTCGCACATTAATTCAGGGAGTGACCACGAAACCCCCTTCATTTCGCTCTGTCACTGACCATGGGGAAGCAGATCTTTTTGCTGATCTCGGCGTAGTCGGCGTTCCTCTCGAGCACCTCCTTCTGTCCGGCGGCGAAGTGCGAGCAGATGAAGCACAGTGACGAATTGTACACCACCATGCGGATCGCCGCGGCGCCCTTGTTACCTGGTAATGGTAGCCGAACGTCGTCAGGCCAACGGGGGACGCATAAGGGCAGTATACAGCAGGTCATCACCGAAACGAGATCACTGTCGCTGATCACAATGCATCCAATAAATGTAAGTTTCATTCACAGGATGCAATCATAGCGTTCAAACGAGCTTGCAATTCCAATATTACGTTTCAAGAAAAAAAAAGAAGAATAAGGCAAACTATTTTTGAATTGGCCAAAGGATAGATATAACGCATGTAACGACACATAGTCTGCCGAGCCTCCTCCTAAACCCCACCCGACCTTCCCTCCCACCACCGTCTACTGACCAGTGGCGCCGCCGAGGCCCGTTTTCACTGTATCGGTGGCCACGTCTCGGACATGTTCAGCCAGCTCGGGTCGTATGAAGACGAACAGCGCCACCCCAACCAGCTGGACAGAGGTGAGTGGTACGTACGGCCGGTCCCGAGAGACCACCTTCTGCAGCTCCTCGCCCCACAGACGGGCGTTCTCAGAGCTGCCGGGGGACGCAGAGGGGGGGGGGGAGGGTAGTGAGATGGTAGGGAGTGTGAGGGGGCAAGAGGCGACGATCAATCGCTTTGAGGGGCTTCGAAAGAACAGCCGCTTGTACGTTGGACTTGGGCATCACTTGAATTGAAAAAAAAAATAGAGAAGCATTATCATTATGGTATAATTATAATGGGTGTTTGCATTAAAAGGGCCTCCTGGTACATTTAATATCCAAAATGAATGCAAGAGCCAAGAAAGGATGAATTTTTGCCCACAAACAATTTATATTTTAAAATTTTACAGACAAGTCACGGGCCGTTCAGTGCGCCTCTCTCACCTGGCAGCCATGATGTTGCTGGCGTTCAGGTCTACGATCTCCTCAAAACCGACGGCGAAAATGTCCACCGGCGGCTCCTCCTCACTGTCGTCAACCAGCTCTGCAGGAAAGCGGCACTGGTCAGACGTCTTACTATTCAAGCTATGCTAAACGACTCGCGCAAATAAAAAAAGACTACATCGCTCAAAACCATCACAACCGGTGCTGAACGAGAGCTTTGAGACGCCTTCCGGCTTCTCCTACCGTTCCTCGATAACTGCAATGCTACCATGAACCATCTACCATCTTTTGACTCTTTCAATACAAAAATAAGCAGCAAATAAGCCGCTAAATCGATACAGCTTGATTTCTCCTGACAACACCACCAACACCCCTCAGACCAGCGGCTGCCCCTCTGTCCCCTGACCGACCTCGGCCACGGGCGATGCGCGGCGCGTCCAGCAGCCAATCGGCCAGGTTCTGGTTCTTGTAGGCCACGCTGCGGAAGTGCTTGCCACCGTTCACATTGTACGTGCCGACGCAGACTCTCAGTGTGCGCGGCGAGGTGTACTCGTCCTGGGACATGCACATGGCGCGGAGCAAGTTCGCCTGAGCTGTGAACGAAAGGAGAAAGAGTTACAGTGGTAAGATTGTGCTCCGCGATGGCTTCACCGGAAGCGGAATTCATGAGATTCCACTTGCAAACCGTAACACGCTGCTACATAGCGTTTATCCAGCTCAACCGAGCTTACTCATTGTGGAGTAGCGCAAAATATATCCGGTAAACGACACAATAGTCGCCTATAGCGGTGACCATTGATGCTTGGTGGGGCTATCGATTCAGCTTATGTAGGCTATCGAATAAGGTAGCGTCAGGTCGGCTCAGATCGCATCAGATCACGCCGTGCCAGGTTCATTATCATAATATCCACTCGCTCCACCCACCATAGAGCATGTTGGGCGGCAGCAGGACCCTAACTACTCGATCCACCAACCATAGAGCATGTTGGGCGGCAGCAGGAGCCTAACCATTCTATCCACCCACCATAGAGCATGTTTGGCGGCAGCAGGAGGCGGAACCCTAACTCCTCGATCCACCCACCATAGAGCATATTGGGTGGCAGCAGGACCCTAACCATTCTATCCACCCACCATAGAGCATGTTTGGCGGCAGCAGGAGGCGGGACCCTAACTACTCGATCCACCAACCATAGAGCATGTTGGGCGGCAGCAGGAGCCTAACCATTCTATCCACCCACCATAGAGCATGTTTGGCGGCAGCAGGAGGCGGAACCCTAACTCCTCGATCCACCCACCATAGAGCATATTGGGTGGCAGCAGGACCCTAACTCCTCGATCCACCCACCATAGAGCATGTTGGGCGGCAGCAGGAGCCAGGACCCTATCTACTCGCTCCACCCACCATAGAGCATGTTGGGCGGCAGCAGGACCCTAACCATTCTATCCACCCACCATAGAGCATGTTTGGCGGCAGCAGGAGGCGGGACCCTAACTACTCGCTCCACCCACCATAGAGCATGTTGGGCGGCAGCAGGAGCCTAACCATTCTATCCACCCACCATAGAGCATGTTTGGCGGCAGCAGGAGGCGGGACCCTAACTACTCGCTCCACCCACCATAGAGCATGTTGGGGGGGGGGGGGGCAGCAGGAGCCTAACCATTCTATCCACCCACCATAGAGCATGTTTGGCGGCAGCAGGAGGCGGGATCCTAACTACTCGCTCCACCCACCATAGAGCATGTTGGGCGGCAGCAGGAGCCGGGCGCGGTCGGCCAGCTCCGAGTTCATGCTGCTGCCCAGCAGGATGACGTCGATGGCCTCCTGTTTGCTGCTGTCCAATAGGTTGTTCTGGATGGTACGCGACACGGACCGAGCGCCGTCCATCAGCTGGCGGAACAGAGTGCAGACAAGTGACGCCAGAGGCACGGACAAAGACGTTACATACTTAAAACAAACGGACAATTGCTTCAATCGCTGGAGGGAGGGAAAAAGCGAGGACGGTGGTCCATATTTGAACATGCTAGAGCAGGAATAGTTACAGGAAACAAACGCATAAGCAACGGAAGCACTTTGCCGATTATTATTAGAACATACCAGCTGCAAAGAGCATATTTACTTTACTCGCTGGTTGCACATATTCTGCGGGATTGAATAAAAGCTTTGCAACGCTGTGCACGTAGACTGGAAAGGATGTCATTACTACACATTTACAATTGTGAAGCGTCCGGATGGGGTCTGACCTTGGATCCGCCCTGGAGCGCGCCGGTGCCCGCGTACAGCTTGCTGATCTCGTTGCCGTTGTTGACCCACATGTCGCGGAAGATCTGCTGGAAGCGGGACACCACGGACGCCTTCTCCTGCAGGTTCAGGTAGCGCAGCTGCTCCAGCAGTACCTATCACAGAGGGAGAGGGGGAGGGGAATGGTTTAACACGCGGAGGGTCACTGGACCTTCAAGGGTGGCGGACCAATTAGGGGACAGATGAGTAATTATCTGGGCTGACGAGGCGACACTGTGCCTTCCGTCCATCACCGGCAAACAAAATCAAAATATAATTTTCCTATCATTGATTCACCTCACATCGATGGCCATTTACAAGAATCATCATTCACCATTGATTCACCTCACATCGATGGCCATTTCCAAAAATCATCATTCACCGATCTCTGCGCTGAGGAACCGTCCCGACCTACTCACCTCGAGTCCGACCAGCGTCTGCACGCAGTTGGTCCGGTCCAGGCAGTCCAGGCAGTTGGTCCGCACCGTCCCGCACTGGTCGCTGGAAACGAGAGAATGATATCCCTGTCACAATGACAAAAGTTGCAAAATGACGCGTACCAAGTCCCGATAATAAAACGTATTCGTTAGAACACGTGTTACCGCTATTCTTAAACTTTAACGTTACAAAACTCACATTCTTACGCCTATCAGCAAGAAGGCACAATCCTCTCGGACGATAACATTTGTTGGCAGCCATATCAGCCTAGATCACCTCGTAGGCATGTCCCTCGCCACCCGACCAACTCACATGTAGACCTCGTCTCCCCTGGCGAAGAAGAAGCCCTGGTGTCGCAGCGTAGGCTGCAGGTTCCGCTTCAGAGTCTCCAGCGCCTTGGTGTTGTTGCCGCGCACCTGGGCGTGGTAGTCAAACAGCACGTGCTGCACATCGTCGTGCTCCCGCAGCGCCTTGTGGTGCGCCTGTCATCGGGAAGCAGAGATAGGGCTGTTATCAGGAAGGATTTGGTATAGTAAAACGAGTATGTGCCAACAACAGCAGAGATTCGGCGATGTTGACAGCGAAAACGCCGCAAGAAATGCGAGGATTATATAGATGGACTTTCTATTGGTAAAACGAGAATCAAAAGAGAGTAATCACCAACCAGACATTCAGAAAAACTGATTTCATTCCGACCTCACGACAGCTAAATGTCTCCCACCCAACTCATCCCATCCGACTACGGGTCATAACAACCATCAATGCATCATACACCCCCGCCTAAGACCCACCCAAACCCACAGCCCAACTCACCTGGAACAGGTTACTGAGCATGGCTTCGTCGCCGCGGCTGCCGACCAGCGAGCAGCTGAGCAGGTTCAGTATCACCTGCTGTCCGTAGCGCCTCTTAAGCTGCCGCAGGTGACGGTTAAAGGCGGGCGCGGACGCCTGGTCACCGCGCGTCAGCCGCACCTTGTGAGAGCCCACCTGATGGTGAGAGAGACGGGTGAGACAAGCTACAACGAAGAAGGTTTAATAGGAGTGTGAGATAGCTTCTAACCAGTTGCATTGATAACCCCGACTCTCATACAAAGTCAAATATTTCTGTGCTGCTACCGGCTGCATCAAATAGCTGGCAACCACGCCCCCCCCCCCTCCCACACACAAAAGAACAGCCATGCGAAACACAGAAACACGTGAAACCCCAACCTCTAATTAATACTATTATCACAGTGTCACACAAGTGCCCCGCCCTCTCCACCACTAATCGGATTCTGTTACCCACCTGCACACCGGGCTGGTCCTAGAAGAGCGGTGACACCCTACCACACACTTTACCGTCTAACATTACGAGTAAATGGACAGAACCAGTAAACACCAACCCAACCGAGGCTCCCATTACCCACCTGCACGCCGGGCTGGTCCCAGAAGAGCGGCACCGAGCCGCGCACCTGCAGGTGGGAGGCCACCTCGTCGTCCATATAGATCACCTGCTCAGTCTCCACAAAGTTGGCCACGTGACCGTCGTCATTGGTACCCCGCACGTTGAATCTGCAAACAGCGGTCATGGACGGGATGAGGTCAGTTTGAGCTTAGAAAAAGTGAAAGACGTCGACAAATGCGACGCAGTGTCTGCGTGGAAAACTTACGTCGTAGGATATAGAATGTCGTACACATGTGATTGATTAATTCTTTTATAGCGTTAAGCCGTTCGTCCGACGTCCCGCGTTTACGTTTCCCGGTTTTTATGAGTTTGTTTCCGTTTGACCAAAACAAGCACGCAGAGTCGCAGACATTTGATGCTTTCCAATCTCGAATTAGCTTCCTCTCTCCCCAACCGCCTTTGTACCCGTTCGTCTTACCCTTCTCCCCCTCCCCGACTGACCTGGTGCCGGCCCGCTCGGCACTCAGCCGAGATATGATGGCGGCACGGCCCTGCGTGGCGCCCACGTACACGGTGCGGATCTCCAGCGAGCCACAGGTGACTCTGAGTAGCCACTGGTCGCAGCTGACGCCGAAACGCTGCATGTGCAGGTGCAGCTGCTTGTTCCTGCCGTGACGAAACATGGTCATATGGACGGCGGATTCAGTAATCAGGAAACGGTGATTCATGGCACATATTATGGACGGTCGGCGTGACACGTCAGCGGTAAAACATCCGTAATCATGTATGTGTAGAAGGTACTCAGAGTATTATAGTGCTGTTGCTGCCAGATCTAAAACATTTCTGGACATCAAAATAACAGAAAGATTCCGCCCACAGACCAAACACGTCCTTTCAGCACCAGTTTCACTACTCAATTCTCTCAACTAGTTTTATAGATTCTCAGCTCATTCAGTGTGATTGATTTCAGTCCACCCCTCAGAAGCAAGCTATCCCTCTCACCAGAAGAACCGGTTGTCTGTGACACTTGTTCTCCGCCTCCTCTGTTCACATAGTGTCAGGTCCAGGGGATCTCCGGAGGCACTCCATGAGAAGTACAGAGTGCCTGCATTCAGAATCTTCTTCACCTGTGAAATAGGGGGGACAGTGAGCATGACCACTGACCAGCACATACCTTTTGAGAAACAGCAATGCCAGCCTCTGTTTTGTGTCTTAAACCATGACGTATGGAGAATCCCAAAAATAAAGCAATGTTAACCTCACCTCTGTCACTCTGTCTTCATCTCCTGGAGTGCCCTGGAGCGAGATGAGCGCAGTCTGGGTGACTTTGAACACCTCACTGCCGCAGATCTTCCCCACCGACGTGCAGCCGGTGACCACCGCCAGATAGAGCAGGCAATACTGGTCATCTGCAACAGCACCACACCAGTTATTCAACTCTGCCCCACTAACTCCTTCTTTGGAGGTCAAACTATTGTTGCTGTCAGTATCACAAAGCTTATCAGCAACTGTCTTAGTGAACATCACGTATATTTTCTACCAAGATAGGATCAACCAAAAGCTTATATGCATCAACATGTATGCTTTGTCAAGATGCATCATATATTGTTTTCTTTTTGTTTGAAAAGGTTAAGGTATAGGTTGACCTCAGATGACCTTATCCAGCCTTGGTGTCATGCTCTTATTTCATTTGTTGGAGCATTTTATGTTTGTTTACATCTGGGCTTGTTTCCCGTTTCCTAGTAAAAGTAATACTACTGCAACATTGACAAATAAGAACAGATGGTCCAACAAATTGGTCTGATTTGGGCACACAATTGATTCTGTGGGGGTTGTCAGGGTCCAAATCTATCTGGGCCCACATGAGTCAAAACTTGAATTATCAAAGAGAGGTGTGAAATCCTTTCAAATCAGCATGGACCTCAGAGGCTATAGTGGAATCAGGGGCTTAGGACTTCTGAGCTGTACAGCTGACCTAAGACAGGAACAGAACAGGGCTCAAAGTCTCAGAATGGTTATTGGCCCTGAAGGATAGAGTGAGCTCTTTGAAATATAGGATCCAGAAAACTGCAAGCTGAAATCTCACAGTTGTGAGAGTGAGAGGTCATGGCTGGGAAGGCTGTATACAAGCACAGACATGGATGTCACCTGACTCCCCTGTGTGTAGGCTGCAGTGTGTGTCTTTTTTAGCATGTGTGTTTGTGTGTGTGTTTTTAATGATGTGAAGGTGTTTTTATGGACCAGTATGGTCTGGATTCTGGAATAAAGTTTTTGTCATTCTTGTCTGTCTGATTTCCTTTCCTGGATCCAATATTGTCTTTCCTTCTGGACTCAGTAATTCTCAGCCCAGTCCAGCCTGCAGAGCTGCATCTCACTGCCTCGATATGCAATAACAGGAATGTTCAGGCAGGAAAAAATCATCACAGGCATATATCACTGTCAATAATGCTGGCTTTAAAATGGGATGTCCCAAGTCAGGGTCAGAATCTGAGGCAGACCAAAGCCAATCTAAAGTTACATGTCATGCATGCTTACTGAGGCTAAGCTGAAGAACACCCAGACATCCGTAGGCATCGATCAGCTTTGTGTACTGCTTCTTGATGGCATCAACCTCTTCAGACTCTGAAAAATTAACCTCATGAAAAACATGAATAGCACATAAATTAAGGAAATCTAGCTTGCTATTTCAATGATTGTTAAATTAAAGTGAATAATGGCTACCTTTACAGCCGCACTTAAAAATATTAAGACATTTTTGTAAAACTCATTCATAAACAAATGCACTATGCAGCTCACCAATCACAACTTAAAACTGTAGAATCTGAAAACAGGACGCCAGGAGCGTTTTGATCAATACTCTTGGAATTCGCGTGCGCAAATCACATGACAGTTGGCCTATGGAAAGAAGCGAGAGGGGGAGAATTTCTTTGTAGTCACATGACTAAATATGCACCCTGTTTTCAGATTACACACTCAAAACTTACCAAGCAAAGCTACAGCCTGTGATTCAAACAGCACTGCCTCAGCCTTGCTTTTCTGCTCCATAAGAACACTATAGGCATTTGGTGGATTAAGTTTATGGGAAATCTTGAATCCTTTTCCCATAGCCATAGTTGCAAAAGTTGCGGTTATCTATTTCAGCTAATTTCTACTAGCAGCAACTTAACTATATATCCTCTTCAGGGAAACTTATCACCAAAATCAAGTTAAGGTTCAAGTTGTTGCTAAAAAGCATGGCAACAGCAGAATGAGCAAGGCGCGTGCACATGAATTAACCACTCAATTTCATTGTTTCATGATGAAATGCACTGTATAAATGACACACGGTATATAGAGAACCATGGGACAGTTCATCCCCTTCTTCCCAATCCACAGCACATAAAAGTGACCGTTTCCATCGTTTTTCTATACAGCAAAATGATATTGATATAGGGCCTTGGCAAAATGCAAAAGGGGGCGTACCAAGTAAATGAGCTTCGCATAAATATTTTTACAGTCGTGATAACAATAACCTTGAAAGATTATCCCAGGAGTTACGAGATTATATCTCAAGATTCTCAACAATTTCTCTAAAGACATAATTGTGATCAAAATAATTGAAGATAGCTTATTTTCCACTCTTCAAGCTTAACAAGATATGATAAATTAATCAATTTGCAATTGAATAAAATTAATGATATCGTGTTCTTAAAGCTTCATAAAACATCACACGAACTCCTCATTTTGTTGCCATAGAAACATTGAAATATTAGATTACTTGCAAACAACGTGATCTCCGCGCCTTCTTTAGACAATTTCTAGGCTTTGCCCGTATATAAAACGTTTGCAACTTAAATTTTTTGACCTTTTTGTTTGACGCTCTCAATTTTCTAGAGAATTTTGATTTCTCTTGCATACTGTTTGCGCAAACGCGACTGCTAAAAAAGATACTAAGATAATTGCACGACAAAACCGAAAGTAGCCTGCTCCTATTGGACATTTTTTATAGTAATGTAAAAATTTAATTTTTAACAATCAATTGTGTTGCAAAGGTATTCAAATCATATTTTTAAATTATTTCACACAAAACTATAGAGATATATGACACAAAATGGCCGTATTTGTCCAAAAAATGTTTTCATTTTGCGCCACTTCTGTCATTTGTGCGCCAAAGGGCGACCTTCCGTCAAATAACGGAGCTCTCGTTCGCGTCATTCGCGTTGTGTTTGTGGGTGTGAGAGGTTGTATGGTTGTGCGCGGGTATTCACGGTGGTATTTTTATCAAAAGAAATAATTAATATTGCTGCTGGAAAATATAAACGAAATTATTCAGATTATTCTTACCTGTGGCATCGTGCGTAGGCAGAGTGGACTTGAACTTTTCGTTGCTCTCTGAACTGGAACCCGTCGTGATGGTTTGAGCGGATTCAAGAAGTTGGAGCATCTAGCTGCGTCGTCATACTGTAGCAGCAATGGACTCTAGCCATCTCTCTGCCAACCTTCTGAAATGGGTATGTTATGCTCATTTTATTTTATTAAGGCCTGGCTACACCATGCTGATGCACTTTTTGCGTGCATTTTTGCAGTTTTGCGTGTTGTGCAGAATATTGTTATAGAAATAAACGATATTGTTTTGTGATGTTTTATATTACCTTTTAGTTAATATAAAAGTTTTATTAACATTTTTATTTAAATGATGTAAAAGTTTTATCAATTATATTTTTTTCTAGAACGTTATTATGCAAAACACGTAAACCCACTAAAACACACGCTGAAAGGGCTAGTGTATCCAGGTATTTGCTGGTAGGTTGTTATGTTCATTGGTTGCATTATTGAACTAGTAACTTGGTACTTACCATTGTCATGATATTTTGTTTCTGAACAATCCATTTCATGCTTTATTAATTTATTTATCCTGTTGCAATTGAGTTTAGGAATCAGGTGTAGGCTATTAGAACTGTTTGCAAGTTATCAACCCACACCTGCTGAAATGTCAAAAGGCGCATACTGTTTTCTGACCATGAATCTGATTACAACTATATGATGACAGAAGCTGAAAAAAATAATCCACTGTATGCAAAAGACTTGTGGGACAGATTGTTCTCACTTCAGTTGATTGCACTGATAGTTTTGCTAGGGCTCCAGTGCTGATTAAGACAAGATTTTTCACCTGAGATAGAAGAGTGATAACATGACTTTATTAAATTTAATACAATGGCTGAATATTAAATGAATGACTCCCTATATCCTAGCTGCCTTTCCTTTTGCATTCATTATGATAGGTATTGTTTTTTAATGCTGCCACATCTGGACATATTTTTAACCACATTCCCAAAATGAGGACTGTGGATCATAATTCATAGTTGAGCTTTTTCTGACATTTGTGGTTGTTTTTCAGTTGGCCACATTTCAAGCTGGGGCCAATGCCACTCAGCCTGAAGACATCAGCGATGGGGTTATTATAGCAACTGTTCTCCATGACATGTAAGTGTTAACCAATGAAATGCTATTTAAGCATTTTTTGCAGCTTCATTGCATCAACATTCTCCAATGATGGGTTATGCATGTGTTTAGTGTATTCTTATAGTGTCATAGAATCACCTATAAACTTGCATTTGCACATTGGGTTAGCCACAACTTATAAGCACAGATTTAGGTTTTCACAATGTATTTTATATGATAAAGATATATCATGCTATCATTGATATTTGGGTGGCTCACAACCTGCTTTGAAATGTGTGTATCTGATGACATCAGCTTGCAGGGGTAGGTAGGTAATGAGAAATTTATTTTGGGTGTGGTTAGCTGATTTGTATATTGGAACTAGAGTAGGGGAAACTTTTGGCAAACTTAAGATTATAAAGAGGCTGAAAAAATAGTAAAAATTATGAAAAGGTATGCAATGGATCATTGCTCTTTAACATTCAGCCATTGAGCAGGAACTGCTTGCCAGGAAGAAGACCTAAACTTCGGTTCTTTGACATAGCCGCGTGTAGCTGGAATTCGTAAGACTGGTCGCGGTGATCACGAAAGCAGAAAATGCGCGGACTTGTCTGATTAGCGGCCACAATTGCAGCGGCGAGCTGTCATGACTTTCAACAGCGGTGGACGCCGAGTCCTGTTTCACTTTTCCGCTTAGCGCCCATTGCGAGATAGGTGGCCTCGGGAGTCTGACTGCCACGGTTTGAGGAATGTCCACCGAGTCACGGTGAATGCAGCGACATTGAAGTGATAGGCGGGATTATATATCACAAATACGGCTATCGCTGTCATTTGTGGCATCTATACTCAGGACTAGACTCGGGGGCCATTATGCAAATTTGTTATCCGCCGCGGCGCTTGCCCGATAGTATCGCAATGTCGGTAAAAGTCTAGGTGCTGCTGCTGTTACCACTCCTTCGTGATATGAAGATGAACTTATCGTCGCTGACCATTAAAGTAAATAAGGATTGAAAATGTCATCAGGAGATGAAATGTCGATCACTTGCGGACACATTTTTCGTCATTTTTCGTCCTCCCCCCCCCCCCCCCGTTAGTTGCTCCGGCTGCTCGCGCTCGGCTGCCGTGTGCCATCGTGAGGTGAAACCAGCCTCTGTCCCCGGGCGGCCGGCCGTGCTATTGGCCAGATCTGATCTCCTCGCTCGCACCCTATCTGGCGCAGAATCGGCCGCCGAAACGGAGCGAAAGGCGGCGCGGTGCGCAGCGCCCACATTGTGTGCGAGCGCTGGGGGGATGCCCAACTGCCCAAGTACCCCAGAGCGTGCACTGCGCGGAGAGAGGCCCGGAGGCGGAGACAGAGGGCCGGGAGGGTGCAGATGCCGATCTCGCCGCGCCTCGACGGCGATTTCTGCGCTTCAGCGCTGATTTCGTGACTTTGGGAAAGAAAGCTTAAGTGGTGCATGGGCGGCTGGCCGGCTCTGGGCGCGGGATCTCGTAAATTCGCCGATGGTAGCCCCCACCGCATGGACGATGGGAAAGGCAGCTCGGCGTGATGAGCGATCACGGCGGGCACGCGAGCGCACGAGGCTGAGCCGGATTGTTTCGCGAAGGCGCCTTTCGTTTGGACAACACTAATGTGGGTCAATTGCGAATCGTCTGTGGAAAACTGCGAACGTACTGAGCCGTAAACTTTGGAGTTTCGTGCTAAACATAATGCTCCCAAATCCTTGAAAGGAATGCTAGGATAAAAAATACACAATCCTCGGACAGATTAGCTAATTAGTACATGACGGAACAGGGCAACGTTTTCCATCAGGCTTTGATTATTTGTTATCGCTTACCCCTCAATGCTTTTGGGAAAATATTACCGTTTTCGCCGCAGTGCAGCGTCAAGCTGCGCTCAATGCGCTGGTATTTCGATGCACTTCCTGCCCTCTGCCACCGCTGTGCGCTGTGACACTGGTCCTGGTGCTGGACACGTGCCACCGTCAGCGGTCGTTGCGTCACCGGCGCCTGTCACTCCGACAGCAGCAGACGCTCCCGTACCGCATACGGGCTGACGGCACTGAAATACGGCAGCTGACGCCACACAGGTCCGCCCTGTCCCGACGTGTCTCGGCTCGCTCTCCCGTCCCTTCTCCGCGGTCCCCAGGTCGTCTGTCAGACGTCTCAGTTAGTTTCATCCGTCCTCCGTCCCGATCCTGTGCCCAGTCCCCTTAGCGCCTTTTCTGACGAACCATCTGCTATTTCCCGATCGTCGAGCTATCTTTCCCACCTGTCCTGAGTTCTATCAAATAACCTGGTATAAGATAGATAGTTGGCACTGGGCAATGGACTTCGATTATTGGATAGTAAATATCGGACAATACCAAACACGGTGGATAACGACACTGGACAGTGGGCGACGGTCTGATACATATATCAGTTGACTGTGCCATCACTTTGTGTATTTGCCGCTACATCAATGCATGTCGTAACGTGGGTTGTGGTCACGAATTCGTGTAGGCCTCTCACGGGACAGTTGCACAATAGCCATGGCGGGCGGGTCAGCGGTATCGATGAGGGCGGTGGTGACCCATTGAGCTATCAGGACAGGTTGGCGGTGTTATCGGTCATGATAGGTGTCATGTTATCTGAGGCCATGTTTGCTTGTGTTACGGTGCTTGATTTAGCATGTGGTGTGATAATTTTTGACAGCACGCTGACGTAGAACTTAGCCAACAGAAGCATGCATAGTTAAGCGCAGACATGGACTAGCGTTGTTCTCTCTCACATTTGCTATTTGGGTGTCAGCGAATGTACCCTTTGTCGTGTAGCGTCAGAGAGCGGGCGTTTTCGAACTTCCAAAGAGCGCATCGTCTTTTTCATCTGACACTCGAGCCAATGTCCCTCTCTCGCACTCTCAATACACGGACAGTTTTTGGAAGGTTTTTGCCCGCAGCACTCGCCGCCATTGGCGCTGAATATGCATATCAAGTCCGTGAGGCGGTCGTTAACGCGGCCAA